AGAAGTTATCAGTTTCTTGTGAAAGTGAAGGTAACTTCTGGTAAACTGCTTGACAGCCTTCCAAGGTGGCTGAGCTGTGCTCTGGTAAATTCAATATGGCTTACTGTCATGATCAAGGGTGAAAACTACCAACACTAACACCAGTAAGCAAGCACTATATAGCCTCAGGCCTTGTCGGACTGCAGTGATACTGGTATTAAAATTCTAATCAATTTGATTTCCATATTTGTAGATGGAACTGTTGTCAATTTGAAGCCAACATACAAAAGTCTTTGCTTATCTAGTCATAAGTTGCTTGTCCTGTTACAAAATGTCCTAGAAACGAGTAAATAAAGAACTAACAATTGGCATATGAAAGAAATTTTTTATTGAAACAATAGAATAGAAAGAAACTAATGTATAAAATAAATATGCACTTCCAAGTAACTAAGCACGTTATTAGTAAACATTATTCAAAGAAACATAGGGTAGAAATGTATATGGAACAAAAAAGGGTAAAAAAAAAAACAACAACAAATATATAAAATATATCAACATGACAACAGGTTGTTCACATTGGCAGTATATATAATATAATTATGTATAGATATTTGAATTTTGGTGCCCTGTCATCAAGCAACTGTTCATAAAGTTGAGCAATTAGGTAAAAATGCAAAAAAAATAAATAAAAAAAATGGAATGCTTCTTGTGTTTGCTTTGAATTGTTGTGTGATGATCAAAACTGTATAATAAATTTTGTTACCTTAGTGCAGTAACAGGTTAAGTCCTTCTAAATTTAATAGGAGTTAACCAGTTATTGCACTAAGGTGACAATATACAGAATTATATGAAATTGTATATAGCTTGCTGAGATTGTATATTGTTGACATTTTATGTATAGTTATATTTTAAAACATCAAATAAATTGTCAAAATCACAGTTATCAAAATCACAGTAAGAACAAAGATCAAAAGAAATTATCAAATTAACAGCCATTTGTAAAATACATACATCAAACAACAATGCCCAACCCAATAATACTCTGTACAAAACAACCTTAAGCAGTCCCCTGCAAATTACAGAAAAAATCAAACAGTTTGTCATACACAGGTCTTATTCCTTCTTATTTATAGAGAAATAATGATTTGACCTAGTGACCTAATTAAATGAACGTGTCCACTGTTGAAGTGTCCTTAGAAGTATGAAGCCTGTATATCAAGGTCACTGCAAATTTTATAGTAAGCATAAAGGTCACTTCAAAATTGCCATTAAATATCAAGGTCACTGCGACCTCTGAAGATATCCATAAAGGGTCATAATGAAATATTGAACAAAACAATGATATTTTCCTTCTTTGAAATAAATAAAAAAAAAACACAGTAAAGAACAAAGATCAAAAATAAATATTAATACCAAACAATATTCCAAAACAAATTAAATAAAAAACAACATAAAAAAAATACATTGATTATAAATATAAACAAAGAGCGACAGGAGCATCACATGTGTCGCCTCATGATGGCAATTCATGTTGGGAATAAGTTTTGTGACAGACAGACAGACGGAAGTGCACAAAACAAGAACTTGGTACTGAAATGCATTCCTGTAAAATAGTTTGGATAAAATTGCACCAGTATTTATTGAATAAGTAGTCCGGACAAGCTTTTGTGTTATCTGGCAACACACAGAAAAAAACACCATTTTATCAAAGGGCCATTAACCCTCGGCCAAAAATCATTCAACAGGAAACAAACCGTGCAATATGCCCAAGGACTTGAGCTACAGATCAAATCCTGTAAAGTTTCAATTGAAATTGGCATTAGTAAGTATAAGAAGAAGTAATGTCCGGACAAACTTTAAAAATAAAAAATTAAAAAGGCCATAACCTCTTACAAAAGTCATTGAACGAAAAATGCTGACAATATGCACAACTAGACTTGGTAAACTGAATTCATTCCTGTAAATTTTGGAATGAAAAAAATTGCCATCAGTAGTTTAATGAGGAGTAATCCCCGGACGAAGCTTTTTTGTGTAATCTTGGCAAAATAATAAGAAAAAAATACCACCTTTTTATTTCAAAAGGGCCATAACTCGGCCAAAAATCTTCGACGGAAAAAACCTGTGCAATAATGCGCAAGGGACTTGAGGCTAATCAGATCCAATCCTCGTAAAAGTTTCAAATTGAATTGAATTAGTGGTATACAGAGAAGGGTAGTCCGGACAAAACTTTAAAAATAAAAAATTATTAAAGGGGCCAAACTCTTACAAAAATCATTGAACCGGAAAATGCTGACAATATTCAAAACTAGACTTGGTACTGATCAATCCTGTAAAGTTTGGAAATGAAATTGCACCAGTAGTTTTATAAGGAGTGTCCGGACAAGTTTTGTGAGGACAGACAGACAGAACGGACAGACATGAAGAAATGACGGAGAAGTGACCCCTATATGTCGCCACTACTTCGTAGAGGCGACACAAAAATATTGAGTAATGTTAAAGGGACTCCATTGACATTTTTTGAAATGATGGTACTGAAAATAATTTTCCGAAAATAATGTATCATTTGATGTATGTCTAGACCAATAGTTTTGTACAAAATATCAGATCATTTGTTCACTCCATTTTTCCAGAATAATCATTCTAATAGTGAAAAATGGCCAAAATGTGAAAAGCATTGCAATGCTTTTCACTCAAGAATAGCACAAAATATGTTTTCAATTCATTTTGGAGTACATGTATATCTCTTAACTATCTTTTGTATATCTTTCTGTTTTAAGTGTCCCAACTGATCTATATATGAAATTTTATGTTTTTAGGCTTTTCGACATCAGTGGAGTTCCCTTTAATCAATAACAAATTTTGAGAATTGTAAAACTACAAAAATGAAGAAATAGAAAAACAAGAAATATATACATCAAACAGCAGCCTCATATTTCAACCATGCATGCCATTATTTCTAGGACACCCAGGTTCAACATCTGTGTGTTATAGTGGGGTCAAGTTTGATAGGTAATGTCAATACAAATATAAAAGTTTTTCTTACAGCAGAGACAAACTTTTTAGTACAATCCTAGGTGTTATTGCATGTGACAAGTTTGGTGTCTTGTACAGTTATAATAAAAAATTTAGAGGTGATTGTCTTAAATAACATAAATAAATGGACAAAATAATAATTGAACATTCCATATATAATATTGCTAGAGTTTGGTTCACATTTTTAGTGAAAGGTAAGTTTACATGTTGTAATTATGATTTTGAAACACTTAAATATGATATGTAGAAAAAGCATAAAAAATGTTTAAAAAAAACCCCAACATACAAATTTTTGAAATGAAAGACATATTACACAGTATTCAATGTGAAAAAATATTTTAATCTTTGGTAAGTACTCATAGAAACTATTCAATCTTGGTTAATACTATTATATTGATCATGGACAAATAAAATATATGAGCCGCGTCACGACAAAACCGCGCAGTCTGATCAGGATCCATACCGTTCGCTATTAGTTCCTCTACTTGTTATAGGGTTTGTAAGCGAACAGCATGGATCCTGATCAGACTGCGCGGATGCGCAGGCTGGTCTGGATCCATGCTGGTCGCAAACCCATTATGTTGGTTTTGTCCGTGAAGCGGCTCATATAACATTGTACAACAATAGTGCCCTCATGGGGTTATGTGACTCACCAGAATAAATGTTTGAATGACACAAAATTGTCCAAAGGTCAGGTTTTCTATAAATATAAAATATGTGAAACAAGGCAGTAATTCTGCCCAAAATGATCAAATTACAACATCCTTACAAAAAAAAATTGGTAAAAAAATGGTAAATGATAAAAATTAAAAAAGGACCATTAACAGATCAACCAACCTTTTTTCTTTTGTCAAACTAAACATTTGATTCTAGTGAGCACACATATACATGTATATAAATAAAAACATATAATGACAAATATATAAGAATGAAAAAAAAAATCTATACCAGTGTTCTATATGCTACTTAATTTGTTAGTAGCTACAGCAAAAGCTGCAAAAAAGAATTAAAACAACACAAAATAAGAAATATTTTTGTAAATTAAACAAGTTAACAAACAAAAACCTACCAGAGGTCTTTCTGTATATAATATGTGTAGTTACATAAATGAATAAGCAATAAAGGATTAATCTTGTTTTGCATAATTATGCAAAAAAAAATAATGCAAAAATCTTTGGTAATAAAGAAATCTCATTGGTCATTGTTATGAATCTCATTTGAATAACATTAACCTTTTCCCTCATATAGACTTGTTTTGATGGCTTTTTGTCCCCACCCCACCTTTTAGAAGCCTCAAACAGTGAAAAAATGCCCTATTTAGGCCCCAAACACTGCTTTTCGTTTGAGAAATGTTAAAAAAGTGACCACTTTTTCGGCGCGGCCCCCCATCAAAATGATACATCTGGGGTCGCCAGAAGGGTGAAACAGTTTGAAAACTTGTAACAGGAGGCTATTCAATGAAAATGGCCATTTTTCACAATATGCTCATGGGGTAAAAGGTTCATGTTATATTATTCTTGCGGAAACTTACATACATTGTCTTTTGTTTTATCTTATGAATGTATCTAAATTTGACATGATTTTTCATTTTGTATAAGCAATAAAGAAGAAACTGAATATGTATTAAACTATTAAGTGTTTTTCCCAATGAAACTATTGCATAAATCATTATATCTCCATAGGAGTCTAACAGGACATTGTTGTCTCATAGAAAAATGTTTGTTCATTGTCATTAGGGAGCATTAATGATCACTGTCCCACAGGAGCATGTATTGACAGTATCTTTTATTAGCCCTTCACAAAACTTTTGCTTTTTTTGGCAGCCCACTGATCGGGGAGTTTTTCCCCGGGAATCCTGCAAAACTGATATCCCTCCTAAAACTGGTACCTTGGCTTTTGCAAAATGTTTTGTTCCAAAGTTAGAAAACCCCCCCCAAAAGGTTATCCCCTTAAAAAAAAAAAAAAACGATTTTTCTGCGTTTTTTTTTTTAATTTCTCAAATTCTTTAATTCTCTCTGGCTGGCAAATGCTACAAGTATAGAACCATGGCTTCCAGTTTGAACAGATTTTAGACTATGATTAATTCTATAAAAAAAATTTACAATGAAATCCCTGAAATTTAATATAAGCAGTGGAACTGTTCCAAATTCAAAGCAGAGCATGTGCTGAAGACAATTTTTTGCAGAGCAAGTGTTTAATTTACAAAAAAAAGAAAACACTCTGCATACAGCAAGAGATGTGATTTATTAAAATCACTTGATCTGATGACATCACAAATGATGTCATAAATGTGTATTTACTTCATTATAGTATATTGTGTTAGATATAAAATATTTATTTCCTTCTTTTTAATTTACTTGAGAGTAACAAATTACTTTTATTATGCAATAAAGACAATATACTGCAATAAAGACAATATTCTTAGTGTTTGTGTCTAAAAAAAAAAGAGCATGTTATACAAGAAGTGTACAAACCTAATGATAGCAGTGCCGACATATTTCCTTCCGTAAGTATCGAGTATAACGGTTAAAGCTGCCTCGTATAGTCTCCCGGCAATTACATCGTTCATGTCATCATACACGAGGGCGATCTCGTTCAATAACGTTGCCGTATGAGGGTGATTGGTACCAACCTCGCTCCTCGTCACTTTCAGATCTTGCAGGTAAAATGCTAGAGCCTCTTCCAGACGACTTTGTTTGTACGAAAGTTGTCCAAGCTACAAATACATATTCAAAACATATATGAACTTCAAAATTGATGATGTTTTAATTATCCTGATAAGGATAATCAAAGCTTCAGTATTTCATTCTTTTATCCAAAGTTGAACCATGCATTGAAACATTAACATATTTACATCATCCTTAAACTGATAAATCTTATTATACTGACAATAAAACTAATAATTATTCATTTTTTTATCCCAAAAAGGGTTTTAAATTTAAAAAGAAAGGATTTTAAAATTATTTCAATCATTTTTTGTTGGGTTTTAGGCACATCAAAATTTTAAAAACCATTGGAGCGCCTTTTAAGCTTAAATGATGGAGAAAGACCTCAGGTGCTCCTTTGTGCATTATTTCAAGCACAAAAGGACATTCAAGTAGAACCACCAATGTTTCATATGCTAACTAAATAGCTTTGACACATGAAAGAATTCAAAATTCCCTGGCAGGATTCTAACCTTAAAGCACTCAAGGGTAAGTGGATTAAAGTCAACAACCTTAACCATTTGGTCAAGGACTCCCCTTTTAAATCTTACAAAATATACCTTAGCAAAGATAGCTGCCACAAAGTGATGGGTTCTCCCTAGTATATCAGTAGCCAACTGTAGGGCTCGTGTCATCAGTTTCTTCGCCCCATCCATCTTATCCTGTTCTATATAAACTGATGCCAGACCTAATAGACCTTCACATACCTGAAAACATACATTACTTTTTGATGGCTTGTATATATCTGGTGCATTTAAAACCAAAATTATCCTCGGTCAATAGAGGTTATCCTGAACTCGGCAAATGTGGGTTTTTACATGCTAACCCCCTGGTACAAACACACTTTTACCGTCATAGTTTCAAGGTGCACTACCGGTCATATAATTCAGAGTAAGTCCATTGTAATTTGTATGGATTTTACTTCATAGTGTCATTAGTTAATAACGGTGCCAATTAACTTTCCAGATAATTACATTTCTACAAATATGTGATACAAGTAAAACTGGCATGCAATTAGTAACAATCAGCTTCTTGACTGGTCACTGCCTTATTTTAACTTTTTGATTCTTTTATTAATAATCTAAGAGAAATTACAAAAATTTAGCAGGACACGCATTAAACTTACCTGTATTTTTTCAGAAGGTGTATTTAATTTGGTCTGTCTATTTATAGCATCAGTGTATATTTCAGCTGCCTTCCCATACTCTCCCATCTTGTAATATACAGCCCCAAGCTCTTGTAAACTCTGATAAATAAAAAAAAAAAGTCATATTGTCTATAACCCTTACCATGCTTAATATCTTAAAAAGGACTTGTCCATTTTTCAATATGGACTGAAACTATTCAGCTTTGAGAGAAAAATTTCAAGATATGTACTGACTGAACAGTGAACATGATCAGGAAACACAGACATGCTGGCTGATCTGGATCTTTTTTAAGGGAGGTTGGTTTTTATGTTGCACCAACACAGTATAGGTCATATGGCGAGTTTCTAGCTTTACTGGTGAAGGCAGTCCAATATATCAGATGTTACGGGCTCATTATAGTTTATGTCGGTAAAGCCCAACCTCTCTTTGCCCAGAAGCTAAAATATCTCAAAGCGACGTCATATTTACAGAACTACTGGTGGAGTTCGAAAGACCTCAAATGCACTTCCGTGCATTATTTCAGGCACAAGCGGGCACCAAAGTAGAACAAGCTAGCTGGGTAGCTTCCTCATATAAAAGAATCCAAAGTCCTTGTCAGAATTCAAACCCACAGCTGTTCTGGTGTCATGGGAAGATTCATTAGTTGTCAGCAGGCTCAGGGCTTTTTAAAGATCAATTAAGATAATTACTTAAAAATGAATTAAATCAAAAATCAAAATTTACTCCTCACTGATTTTTCTATCCTAAGTATATTGAAAGGAAAATTCCATTACACTTACCTTAATAACAGTAGGATGTTTGCACCTGTATGTCCAGCTCTGATTATGTGCACTGTATATGATGTCACCATGAGATATCCCATAATTCATTTCAAGCTGCTTGATCAGTGTCAGATAGATGTTTTTTGCAGCTTCCATCAGACTCAGATTTTGAAAAAAATGTCCGAGCTTACTGAAATAAACAATCATATATTTTATATATATTAGCATGTGATGAATGTATTACAAACACTGAAATTACAAGTAGTGTTTGGATGTTAAGTTTACTCTGCCATAACATTTGTCCTGAGAAAAATAACAACAACAGAACTTTTAGTAAATTTATATGCATGTAAATATATAGTTCATGAAATTTCATATTTTTATAAGTACATGTATGCACTATTACGGTAAGTCATTTCTTATTACATGTATTTATATAATATTAATTAAAAATAAAAGTTTCAGCAGAATTTAAACAAATTCCGCAGTCCTTAAAGGTGAAAAACAGTTGATACACCTATAATGCTACTTTTTGTTTTCAAACAAAGATCTGAATTCTATATTTTCATTGTAATTTGACATATCTGTTCACAAGTTAACGATATGCTTTTAACTAATCTTAAAGTCCAGTGTATAAACTAAGATTGCAATTTTCATTTTTTTTTTCAGGATGAAAATACCATGTTTATCAGGCAATTGACCAGTTCCAATTAGCTTATATGAACTCCATACTCAGATGAGCTTAAAAGCTGATGACAACTAGATTCAGCCATTTTATTATACAGTCATGTTTAAACACGACTTCATTATTTAGTGTCAGTGTACCTGTAAAGTTCACAGTAATGTGCGGAATTCTGACGGATTTCCTTTTGGCTTATTGTGCCCAGCTTCTGCATGTATGCCTCTTCTGCCAGACTGAAGTCACCCAACTAAAATATATAAAATTCAACTACAGTACAGTTAAACCTGTGTTAAAGACCACCTCCTAATAAAGATCTCCCTGTAAATAAAGGCCACTCCTAAAAAACCCTTCTTTGATAAAATAGAACATAATAACCTCCAAATAAAGACCACTTGCCTATAAATGCCATGTTTGGTCTCTCCTTTGGATGGATCAACCAAATAAAATGTATTACTGCATAGTTTGTATAACATATCATAAAATATTTAACACATTGTTTCATCAAGTGCCATTGGTGTCCTGTTATAAATTCCAAAAGTTATTCATTGGTCAATAACCTGAACCAGCTTTTGCTCCTGTTGCCATTTAGCCATTTTGTATGAAAGTCAAAATATTACTTTGTTTACATATTGCTACTTTTATCATGAATTATTTCATATGCAGCTATCCTTTCTTCAGGTGATAAACATCTAAGATGCTCTAAAACCATTATTTAAAAATCATCTTTTCCCTTTTTTAAATAAATATTTATTAATTTCTGAGGCATAATGTGTCATTAAGAACAGTAAGTACTGGTAAAGAATCCAAAATATCCAACATGCAACAGTTATTGTATGTTAGTATATAATTAAAACACAGTTGACTTTGCCCTTAACCCTACTAAACAAATCATTACCAAAAACCCCAAAAAAATATTTTAGACTTTAATACATACAGTTTTCCAAGCTTTGACCAATTCAAATAAGCCTTCCTGACTGTTGGACATTTTGAAAAATATTTCCAGGTCACTGACTGTAGCCTTCAATCTCTCTAACTCTCCTGCTCTCATTAACAAGAAAGGTAACTCTTCAACCTATGTGTGGAAAAATACAAAAACAAATTTTAAATTCATACATAAATTAATTTATGTCAATGAAATATAGAAAGGATTTTTTTTTAATTTTCAAGAAAACATTACAAGGGAAAAAAACTTTTGAAAAGAAATATTCCAACTAACTTAGAACAATTCAAAATTCATGGACCAAATCAAAATACAAATGTTCCTTTAATTCAGTTCAGGGATATACAAAACAAAAATCGAAGGAAGAAAACTAAACAAAATACAAACACACACCTTTCTGTTATTAAGTTCCATTTTCTCAAAGAAGTCTGCAAGTTTGACATAGCATTTTTTCTTTTCCTCTTTGGTACTAAGATATTTCTTCTCAACAGCCTGCCTCAAGTGGTCATGGAAGAAATTCAGTATACCGTCACGGTTCACTAAGTTCTCATACAGTGATAGATAGAATGGAGACCAGACGGAACTTGTCACCTACAACATACAAAATAATTGTCAACTTATTATTTCTTATGAAATAAATAAAGAAAAAAAATATCTACTAGTAATTGTTGTGAATATGGAAAAAAAAAAAAACAAAACAAAAGTTACAACAAATTTTTGGAAGTCATAGATATTTATAACATGGAATCAAGAAGCAATGATGACTCGCTGATTCCATCAGAATAAATTGAGATCAACCAGGCACACTTTAGATATCTGACCAAGCTGAGCAAGAATCTGATAGCGGCCGTTCATTTTTAAGTATTTTAACATTGAAATCCCTTAAACTAACAAGTAACAGTTCAAAATACAAACTAAGGAAGACAAATTGAAAATGGCAATGGTTTAAACAAAATGTTACACTTTTTGGATTAGGATATGAAGATTTTTTTTTTCTGGTTGGGTTTAAATTCACATCAATATGACAACTTTTTAGTGTTACTGGTATAGGAAGACCTCAGGTGCCACTTAGTGCATTATTTCAGGCACAAGGAGGCACCCGAGTAGAACCATCAACATTTGGTTAGCTAAAACAAACATTTGAGTATTTACAAATATATCTACAGAACAACTTACATTGAGGAAGTCTGTTAACTCTGCCTCGGACATGCCTCTATTAGAACACCAGAAGGCAGTAGTAGCATCTCGTACAAGGTCAGGTCTAAGAATAAACGAAACAAAATCTCCAATTATAATGACTTATGTGCTCAACTAGTGAAGAAAACAAACATTAACTATGAATATAACAAATACCTAATTTTTGATATTTCACTTCTAATAGGTGCAGAAGGAAACTAGATGTCTCTATATTCATTATGAAAAGCCTCTGAGGAGAGCCATCAACCTTTTCAAGCTTGATACTTCATTCAACTAAAAAATTCAATATTCTTTAAAAGATTGGAACACTCCAACACTGAAGGAAGTCTGGAATAGTTCTAAGTGTAAGCTAGGAGTGAAAATTTATATTTGAGACAAGAACGGCATGTATTAAGTTTCTCAAAACTTTCATTTTTGTTGATTAGTGCTACTTCTGATTAGTAAACATGAAAAGAATAGACTACATCACTAAAACAAGAACTGAAGTAAGTTTGATCTTGCATCAGAAAACAAAATAATAAAATAATACATGTGCATTTCGTATTAACAACATTTTTTTTATTATTGTTTCAGGACATAATTACTATTGTTATTATTTTAGTATATATAACATTAATGTTTTTATCTAAATCAATATACATAACCATCATTCAGATTTTACAATGCAATGAAATATGTAGTGTAAGGTGAGGCTACTGCTGCAAAAATTATAAGATTTACATTTCAAAGATAACTTCCCTTTGTATGCTACCCTTTATTGTCAATATTACACATGTATGTCAACTCTTTAAACAAATGACTTGCCTATGCCATCAGTATAGGGCCAGGTAAGCCTGCATATCAATACAGTCTGAAAAGCCTAGTCTATACTTTTGACTGACTGATGAATGTTTCCTTAGGAATATTGATAATGAAATCTCTATTATCCAAAAATGGACTGTTCCAAATTCAAAACAGGCTATGTTTATCATGCAATTTTGGAAGGGTACCATCTATGACTGCTTATTAGGCAAAATGGCCTATAAGAAGCAGCCTTAACTTTAATCTTGTCACTTAGGATTTCATAAAAGATGCACTATATTTTTGGCAATAGACCTAAAAACACCATCATTGTTTCTGTCACTAAAAGTCGACCAAGGATTTTTAAAGCTTTACATTTTAAAAAAGACAATTAAAGGTGGGTGATTAAGGGCAATGTTAATATCATACCTTACCACAACAGGTGAACTCGGTGCAATGAAATATAACATAGTCATAACACTACAACAACAAAATACATATTGTTAGTATAAATACAACACAACACAAATGACAGATCTAGAGAGAGAAAAATAGGGTTATTTTTTTACAAACATTTAAGTGTTAAGTATTGAAATAAAGTAGATCTATGAGAACAGACTTTCTATGAGAAATTTAAGAATTTTAAACCAGCTGTCTGTACAGACAGAAATATCTAGCTCGAAGGTCATTGTTTTTGGCGGTAACAAAGCTCTGCTGACAGCTAGATATTCTGGTCTGATACAACAGCCAGTGTTTGATTCTTTTTGTACATATTAACAATCATGTTAATTATATTTCGAACAGACATTACAAAAACTAATATTTCATTAAGCACTTTTTTCTTATAGTAGCAAAATGATGTCATCCTAAGAACGCAATTCATTCATAGAAGGCGCATGAATATGACATCATTTTAAGTGCCTGACTTGTATTACACAGGGGCTGTCAGACAGGTTTTTTAGCACTGGTGTGAACAGTAGATAATCCTGTCTGATATGCAGGAAAATGTATTATGTAACTTCCTTTGTGTAATTCTGGACAAACCAGGCTAGAAAACGGTCCATGCTCATTGACTAACATACCAACTCAATATTAGTAAATGTACTTTGATCCTGAAACCCCTTAAAATACTAATGGACTTTTCCAATCTTAAAGCAAGGCCAGTTCATTCTGCAAATTTAGCAGTATGTTAATATTGTTAGAATAGAAAATTGTTAGGTTTGTTTATGTGAGCTGTTTAAAGAAACCTAATATCTATAAAATATCTTCGCTCTAAAACAATTAAGTCATACATCTATAGAAAAAAAAACCAAAGCCATCACTATATATGACACAAAAACCACTGTAATAAACTGTTAACACCTGTAGTATATTATTCTAAGAAAATTTTAAATCATTCTAAGAAAATTTAACAACTCAAATAAATCAATAAAAGCTACACATTCTTATAAATTATTCAAATTTGGTCAATTCTGATGTTAGGTGATTTTTACTGCACAATGGTTGAAAACTACCAAAAGACCAAACAACCAAACATACAAAAAAAAATCCCCACTTAAATGTATTACAGTACATATGACATACCTAGAGTTACTTCCCTTTTCAAAGTCTTGTTCAAGCCTCTCAAGGATCTTGGCAAACAGATGATTGGGACTGTCTGCTGTCAGATACTCTCTAATCTTATCTGTCAGTGTGCGGAATGATCCATACATACGAACCTTTTAATATAATAATAAAAAGAATTAAGGATGTGAAACACTCAAAACAACATGGATCAGGTTTCAGTATTTTTAACAATGTGGATCAGGTTTCAGTATAATTATTAATGACCTATGTTTTGGCTATTCAATAACCTTTATAATTTTGATAAAATGTAGAATGTGAAAAATACAAGAATCAAGATATTATAAAAAAACTTTCATACATGTTAGATGTTTAAAACATATTACCAGACCAGTTCAACTAGATTCTTAGTAATAAATAATTATTGTGTCACTTATATATTCTGATACTAAAATCCAGTCTCAAATTTAAAGTTGGACAAGTCAATTATTTAGTTTCTAAATTTGGAAGTACGAAAATGCAGATCATTTTCAAAATATGAAAAGAAAAATTAAACTTTTATTATTATTTATCATTTATTATTTTCCAACAAGTATTAACTGCAAAGAGTTTAAAAAATAAGTGACAAATAACACAATAACTTGATTTCAATAGAATATTGCCTTACAACTTTGCAATCCTGACATGACTGGATTGTCAAAATATTTCCTAAAGTTTTTCTTGTAAAGGTGCAATAATATAACATTATAGGCAGTATCAGGGTCCTAAAATATGATTCTTATAAAAGTACCTCATCTAAATCTCCTCATGAATATTTACAAAAAAAATGTTATGCACAGCAGATTTAAAAAGCTCTGCAGCAGATGTGTAAAACTTTGCTGCAGACATAGAAAATTCTGCAGCAGACAGAAGAAGCTCTGCTGCTGACATAAAAACTCTGTAGCAGACATAAAAAGCTCTGCTGCAGACATAAAAATTCTGTAGCAGACATAAAAAGCTCTGCTGCAGACATAAAAATTCTGCAGCAGACATCAGAAACTCTGCTGCTGACATAAAACTCTGCTGTAGACATAAAAACTCTGCTGCAGACATGAGAAGCTATGCACCAGACACAAAAAAACCTGCAGGAGATGTGAAAATGTTATGTTTAATTGACCTAGTTACCTCATCAAGAAGCGACTTTAGGTAAAGAGCATTTGACGTCTGTTTTGCATTTACAATCATGTCCTTCTGGTTCCTGCGGTCAAATCTTGCCATAAGAGATTCCCCTTCCAGGTATCTGACAAGAGGAATCTGAACCTTTCTGGCTTTCATTTCCGAGTTGGCTCCAAATTTTCATTACTTTCGGGGCCAGGGCCAAAAATTTTCTTACAATGCCCGGGTCATCGCTCCTAAAAAAAAAACAACATATGGGGTTTGGGGGTAAAACATTTATTTTTTTAAGGTTTCCCCCCAATTAAATAAGGGAAATACTTAAACTGATTTTTTTGGGCCCCAAAAAAATAAAGGACTTGAAAATTTTAAAAATTTAAGAGTTGCCTTAAATATCAAAGTGCTTAAGCTGTATTGGGGGAAAGGCCCCTTTCGGGCCCCCTAAAAAATTTTAAGTAGAACCCACCAAAACATTCTAAAAAGCTGGTTTGGATGCCCCTCGCTCAAATGTTTAAAATTGAAAATAAAAACGGGGGTTTTTAAACTCAATAGCTTTTTGGTTAAATTTAAATTTAGGGGAAATCAGAAAATTAAAAATTTTTGGTAAAGAATTTTTTTTTTTTTCCCAAACAGAATCAAGGAATTTAAAACAAATCTGATTTTTCAAAAAAAAAAACGTAAATTTGTACTAAGAAAAAAACAAACTTTTACCTTCCCCGGGGGGAAGGTTACAAAAAGCATAAATTACATTTTTGGTGGCAGCTCAGAAGGGTATTCCACACAAGTCTTTCCCGGGGGCCTAAAAATAAAAAAAATTTCAGACATCAAAAATTGTACATTAAATAAGGGGTTTTAATCGGCCTTATTTTGTTTAAATTTGGGGGGGAAGAAATTTTCGGGGTTTTTTATTTCCTTTTTTTCCCTTTTGGACGAAAAAAATTTTCCTTTTTTCTTTTTTTTGGTTTTGACAACGGGAATTTTTAAATTTAAAATTAAAAAAAGGTTAAAAAGGAAATTTAAATTTCAATAAAGAAAAACTTCAGAAGTATAAGATATAAAGGAAAAACTTTGCGGGGAAGGATCTATAAAAAATGAAAACACTTTTTTTGGCAGTTAAAAAGAGACCCCTTTCCTTTTCTTTTTTCCAGACCCCCAAATTTCTTTAAAGTGTTTTGAGGGCTTTTTAAAATAAAATAACGACCTTTACCTTGCCCCCACCTCCAAAAAACCCTTGCCTTTTTCATTAATCAGGTAAGAATCTGATGAGGGTATCTGCATGTCAAACCCCGGGTAATATGTTTTCATCTCTTAAAACCAGCCTGAAAAATTTTATTTATAAATTCCCACAGGTAAAAAAAAATTAAAAAAATTTAAACTGTCATGGGGAAACCCATTTTTTGACTTTTCTAAAATTTTTTTTGTTTATTTAAAACATGTTTTAAAATTTTTTTTTCCCAATTAAAAAGGGTTTAAAAATTTTTCCCACAAAATTCCATAAAATTTTTATGGGTTTTAAAAAGTCAAACAGGGGATAAGGCAAATTCACTTTTGTTTCAATAACAGCAATAACATGAAAAATGATGTAACTTAGAAATCATGTTCAAACCTTACTGAGATTTATAATAATTTTCTGAAAATAATTTCACAAGGAAAATAAGTTTTAACAGCTTCTGATTATTGGTGCCAAAGGTACACCATGTCATGGTGAGCTGCTAGTCGGTAGGTCTCCTACCCATACATTGTATCAGGCAACAACAGGCACCCATGTAGAAAAAGCTAGCTGGATATCTCCCTTGTAAAAGACAATTTGACATGCTTGATAAGATTTAACCAGAAAAAAAATGTTATCTCTTAATCTCCTGTAATCTCTATTTTTTTCCCCATCACATTACACTTCAGAGTTTCTTAATTTTCACACTTTATTCAAGTGTTGGACTGTTTCTTATAGGTGTGAAGATAAATGTTATTATCTATTTGTTTGCTGACATAAAAAGGTTTTACACAGTATAATATTCCTTCACATCTTTTTAAATTTCCGGATTCAGAAGTAAATTTGAATTGATAAAACCCAAATTTTACAAGAAAACCGTTCGGAATTTTTCAAAATTCAGAAGTTCCATAAATTAGAGGTTTTAATGACATAGAAAACACAAGAAGAAATTTCGGGACCTTGAAAAATGTTCGGATTTTGGTTTATTCCGGAATTTCAGAAGTTTTCCCAAAAATTTGGAATTTTCACTGTATGGTTTAAAAAAACTAAAAAAGAAGCTAAAAAAGTTTAATTTTCTAATTGTGTTGGGGAAAAAAAAAATTTAATTTAAATCTGATTTTATTCATCAAAAGGGAATAAAATCGCTAGTTGTGATTTTAAGTCATAATTATATATAATACATGTATTGTATTCATTTCTATTGTTTACAAAATATACTTCTATCAAAACGAACACAGGCACTCACAAGAAATAGGTCACACTCACCGTCTGATAAGTTTGATATAATCAGCGCTGTCGGCCGAACTTCCGACAAAGTGTACAAACATGAATGTATCTGGTTCCAAGTCTTCAACACGTTTTACCCAGTTTGCTACAAATGCTGACTTCCCAGATCCTTAAAATAAAAAACTATGTTAAAATATGATGTATAGATAATCAGTTCATAATTCAATAGAGAAATTATAAACAAAAAGCTACAAAAACGTATCATTTTTTCATCAATCATGACTTTTATCAATCCCTGAAATACTGATTTGTTTTTATTTTCAATTTTTTTTTATCATTCCATTGTTCATATGCATTATGGCTGATCAGGAAATATTGCTAGAAAATATATAGAAATATAGAAAGAGAGTAATATTGAATATTACTGAGTTTTTCATGAATTTTAATTAATCTTTATTGTTTTCTGATTGGTCAGGTTTTGAGTGGCACCTACCCTATAAAAATCATAACAAAACATGACAATTGTCTAGCTTTACTGCCGGAGTAAGAATAAAAATGCCCAAAGTGCATTTTTTCATGCACAAGCAAAGACATAGATATACGTTATCTACAGCTCTGGCACAAGTGAACATCCAAGTAAAAACCATTGACCTTCAGCTAGCTAGCTGGATAGTGTCTTCATATGAAAAATTTAAAGTCTTTGGTGGGATTTCAACTAACAGAAGTGAGTGGCAAGTTATTAGAAATCAGCAACCTTAAATACATTGCCGTATTACACTTTTTAAATACAAAATATAAACATGAACAAGAGCTGTCAGTAGGACAGCAACGCTCGACTATTCTTAGTGCTTGATAGTAAAAAAAATGCTTGATACAGTTACCTCCTCCTGTTTACAGGTTGGGGTCATGATGGTGAGCAAGTGTGCAAAGTTTCAAAGCCATATGTCAATGGACTTTTGAAAATATTTGAACTATTACAAAAACTTTAACATAAATTCTAAGTCGAAAAAGGGGCATAATTCTGTCAAAATGCTTGATAGAGTTACCTCCTCCTGTTTACAGGTTGGGGTCATGATGTTGAACAAGTGTGCAAAGTTTCAAAGCCATATGTCAATGGACTTTGAAAATATTTGAACTATTACAAAAACTTTTAACGTAAATTCTAAGTCGAAAAAGGGCATAATTCTGTCAAAATGCTTGATAGAGTTACCTCCTCTGTTTACAGGTTGGGGTCATGATGGTGAAAAAGTGTGCAAAGTTTCAAAGCCATATGTTCTATGGACTTTGAAAATATTTGAACTATTACAAAAACTTTAACGTAAATTCTAAGTCGTAAAAAGGGGCATAATTCTGTCAAAATGCTTGATAGAGTTACCTCCTCCTGTCTACAGGTTGGGGTGCATGATGGTGAACAAGTGTGCAAAGTTTCAAAGCCATATGTCAATGGACTTTGAAAATATTTGAACTATTACAAAAACTTTAACATAAGTGGTTACGCCGACGCCGACGCTCGGGTGACTGCAATAGCTCTACTTATTCTTATCGAATAGTCGAGCTAAAAATATAGGATTTTTGTATATGTATGCTTACAAATACAGAAATATATTTGCTCTTACAGTTTTCCTCACATATTAAAGGTATAGAATGAAAATAGTGTATATAATCAATCAATCTTACCTGATTCTCCTAGGAGAACAAAAGGCTGATTTATTTTCTTGCTCCTATTTTCATCAACCGTCTTAAAGTAGTCTTCTCTCCCGATATACACACGACATCTCAGCTCAGCAAATGCACTGTGTGCCTCTTTCTGTTGCTCAAGTTTTGTCAATTCCGTACCTAATGGGAAATCGTCATTCACACATTTCTCAAGATCCTATAGATAATTTGACAAAAAATTCTTATTTAAGAGTACAATGGAGCATGCAAAAAAGAATCCTTTATTTACCATGCAAAATTTTGTGTATATAATGGACAAAAAACTAGTATTTGAATTTTAAATTTTCCACAGTAAATTCAGGTGGATTGATATTGAATAAGCTAAACTCAAGCAGCTAACAATGTCTGGCCAATCAACCTTGAAATACAAGCCAAAAGATAAATAAAATACAAGTCACATGTTGGACGCATATCTTAACCCTTTTGATGGCCTAGTGGTTAAATGTCTGCCTCTCAACCCAGAGAGCATGTGTTCAAGCCCTAATCAAGTCATGACCATGTTTTTCATATGACACCGGTACTGGTTGGTATCCCGGGAGTGGATTGAAAGTGATTAATTTATATAAGTTGCATTAAATTGTATCACAATCGAGCTTAAATAAATATGTTTGAATCAAATATCTCAAATCTTTTCATGCTTAATATCAGAAATATACTTGTCCATTTTTCAGTTGGAACAAAAAAAAATCTTCTTTTTTTTTTTGGAAACTTTGAAAATATGTATTAGCAGAATAGCCAACAATGCAGACCATGTGCTGGTAGCATAGGTAGATTCAGCCAGCTCCGACAGGGCAAGAGTTGAAGTGATGACTTTGTCATTGAAATCTCCTTCTTATATCTAAAAAAAAAAACATACTTTATAACATTAAAAAATAATTGTTACTTTTTTAATTAAGTCTGCTACTTCTGATGCTGTTTTGAACTTGGTGACCTTCAGTCCTTCATGTTTCAACACTTCAGATTTCAGCCATTCTTGTCTTTGGTGATGCCAGTCCGATTCTGAGGTCATCCTCTGATATTATAACATTACATTACAAATATAAATGCTTAAATGGTAAAAACAAATGGGGCAATTTAACAGACAGTAAAAGCTTTAAAGTTATATGCAAAATAGTCTTGATTCCTGGTTCAAAAAAAGAATTTTCATAAGGGCTAAAAATATTCAAGGAATAAATCTAATTCTAGCCCTTTTATTTCCTGACTTTGTGTAATGGATTTGTGGTCTTTATGGAATTTTATAAATTTCATTACCAGTTTGAAGGTTTCCAATGATAATATTCCTAAATAAAACAACCAAAATATATACAACTTAACAATGTTACAAGAATGACCAAGAAGGCATGCACAGCTGTACAAAATAACTAAACTATATACAATGTACTGTTTGGTAAATTTAAGTTTAAAAGTTTGTATTTTGTTGGCTTTTTGTTCTCTTTTTTTGTGTCACTTAAAGGCATATCATGTCCAAGAAATGAATAGATATTCTTTTCTTCTTTAGAACAAGTGTTCAATAATGTTTCAATACAGCAATTAAAGCATATTAGGTAGTAGGGTTGAATGTAAAACAATGTGTCATAAATGTTAAGCTATAGACATGTAAAGCCAATGAATACTTATCTGAAACTGTAACAGGACACTAAAAAGGTTTTGGGAAATGAATATAATACAAATTTTTATGACTTATTTGGCCTTTAAAGGGAACAAAGCTATATCTGAAATGAAATATTTTTATAAACTCTTTTGTTGACAGTAAAACTATTATATATCCTAAAATAATATCTATTCCTAAAATCGTTGCAACCAAGAATGTCTCTGTTATCTAACACACATGAATATTGTACTGAAACAAAATAAAAATTAATGTTCTGATACAGAATAATGCCCCAATTACCAAAGCTTTCCTCGTTTTTCTGCATGCCAAGTATTTCAGCACTTAAGTCTCATATGAAAGACTGATAAGTAATTCTAGTTGGCCAGTCCAAGAATCAAACCCACAAAGTCATGATTACAAGTCTTGCGCTCTAATCGATTAAGCTATGTGCGCTGGCATAGACAAAAAGATTGACAACTGACCTTATATTGGTCCTCTGTAACATCCTCCTTTTTCACTGGATCTCTCATGTAGAAAAAACATTTGTCTTTCACAGCAGACGGGTTATTTAGTGCACCATGGAATACCTCTAACTGAAAGTTTAATTCAATCATGTTTTACTGTAAATCAGTATGTGTACACACATAAAGTGCACCATGGAATACCTCAAACTGCAAGTTTAATTCAATCACGTTTTACTGTAAATCAGTTTGTGTACACACATAAAACATTCTTGAGGAACTACGGCCTAGTGCTTGAAATTTCTTCATCTCAACCCAGGATGATATAATTATGACACTAACTTACAAACAAATTAAGCAAAATACGTTCCTGCCTACTCTGAAATTTACTCTCTCATTCAGCAAAGTTAAAACTTTCTCTATGTTTTGAAAATCTCTCACAATCAAACTTAACCAACAGATTTTGATTAGCAAAAATAAAAGTTTCTTAGGAGCAGATATAGGATGTGTGCACTATCAAAAACTAAGAAATCGTAAAAAAATCTAGAAGCTTTAGATTGTTACCGTAGTAACGCTGGTATCAAATCGATATTTCTCGATCCACGTCAGATTTGGGTGATTTTCAACGGCATAGTTGTACGTCATATCCAACACGTCATCCTTCTTGTTTTCTGTCTGAGACCAACCAAATCGATCACCCATCAAACAAATGAAATATGGACGGCATCTGTCAATCTACACGTACAAAAATATGGACTTAATGTTTATTATTCTAGTAGATCTAATTATCACATAAACCAAAAATTACTCATTTTAACAGTTTTCTGTTCTTATTTTATATATGTGATGAATAGAATATTATATTTGTGTAGATTCAATACTAAATTTATTGAACTCATTGAATAAAACAATATTTTGCTCGCCAGTGGCACGAATAATATGATTTTATTCAACTTGTTCAATAAATTTAGTATTAAACTACACTCATTCAATATCCTCTTTTTTTTATTTATTAGTATAATTTTTACATTGACAGAAATGGAATGGCTATCGAGCAAGTATTTATGTATGCTTAGATAAAATTAAACAAGCAAAATTAAGACACACATATACATATAAACAGCTAATTGACTGCCATCTTGACAGTTTTTATGAAAATTATCATATTATTCCACAAAGTTTGAAACTGCCATGATATTTCAAATTGTTTCATGTAATCAAACTTATAACCAATCTTTTTTCCTGATTAAATTGTTTTATAAATAATTCAACGACTGATAAAATCATTTTTTTGGTTATATAACCCAAGAGATACTGGGCTCTAGGTTATAGAATGAAGACATTACACCAAAGTTGCCAACAGAAGAGACACACTAATGAAGAGACAAACTAATATACAGAGACACACAGAAGACAAAAACAATATGTTCTTCCTGAAATACTGATGTGAGGGGCACACTTGTCTATTTTCAGTGCTTAATAGTTAAAAAGTGGAGGCATGGCCAAGAGGTTAACTAGACTAGTAATGTTAGGATCCCTAGCTGCATGCGTTCAAGCTCTCCCAGTTACAAGCAGTTTTAATTCTTCTGCAAATAACTTTACAAGCATTGCTTCATACTGGTTGGTTCCAGGAATGAATTAGAGCATGAGTCATAAGCGTATAGCTTCCTACACAATTGAACATAAATAAATTCTATAATAAAGTAAGAGACTGAACAATGCTAGAAATTTTAAATATTGAAAGAAAAAAACAAGAAAAGAAATTATTCACTTTTGTTATGTTAGTCAAGGCAAAAAAAATGGATTCTATTTTGTTTGTTTACTCACCTCTTGTAAACAGATTGCTATTGTTTTACCATCACTCGTCTGCTCAGATGTTATTCCCCATCGTAAATCTACATACGTGAAAAACACACCCCTATCTGAACAAAGTCTGTTGATCTGTAAAAAGGATTAATATGAGTTTTATAATGGTTTAAGAGCATGTTAGATGCATATCACCTGAAGAAAGTAGTGCTGAATGTGAAATAATGGGTCACAAAATAGCAAAATGTTAACATACAAAAAAAAATCACTATATCTGTACTTACTGATAAAAAGCAACAGAAAAAAAAGATGGCCAATGAGTCACTTTTTGGAAAATATAACCGGACATCAAAAATAAAAACCTTTTGAAAAATAAAAGTATTTCTGATGCATACTGGGTCTTTAAGCAAATATATGAAATGATTTGGACTCAAAAAGATTTTCCTTGCACAATTTTGAAATATGATAAACCTTTCTGTTTGAAATCAAACAATAAACACAAATTCACTTTATGGAATCTTAATCAAAGACTTCTGGCTTTTTTAAGGTATTTATGGTAATATTCTATCTGCAATAAACTCACTTACTTCTCTGAAAGCTTTCTTTATAATTTCTTCTCTCTCATTGGTAAAGTCCCTGAATGTACTTGATACAAATACTCGAATTTCTCTCTTCTTTCGTTTGTTTTGTTTTTTGGTGAGTCTCGGTAAAGCTTGATTTTGAACAATTTCGGTCTGTTTCTCAAATTGCTTATCAACCGGAATACCTGAAAATATATTTGTTGCTTGAAAAATGTTCTAAATAGACTTTTAAGTGTTGAAAATTGAGTACCGCTCAAGCCAGTGGTAGGGGGCATAAGGGATGTTGTACTTATCAATTATCCCTCGTGTATAGACTCAATCAAACCGAGTCTAGAGTTTTCATGTAATTTTGTTTTGATCAATGCTTCCTATGGATCACTCTTCTACCAGATTTTCACTCTGGAGTTAAGAATATTTTGGGTTTTCCCAACAAATTCTGGGGAACAAAAACACTTTTACACTTACAACTTCAAAAATAATTTGAATAAATTGACCAATGTATTGTTAATGGTTGTGCACCATGAAGCTGTAACGAGAAAAGTTTGCATGATCGAGGTGGATTTGCTTGGCAAAACCCATATTTGCTGACTATTTTACAGACTGGATTTTAACTGACAAACTCTTTTAAATCGTTTTTTTATTGTGAAATTAGAAGAATATACATGTAACACAAACCAATGTACACATAACAAGACTATCTACCAGACTGCTCAGTATTTTGCTTTCTTAGAACAGGTTATACTTTACAAAGAAAATATGAAAATAATAGCATACTATCTTTCTCTACAAAGTCTTTCAGAATTTCCTGATTGTCTGAGAGTATTTGGCTGACCAGCTTGTCCAGTGCACTCTTCTTTTCTGAATCCATGCCCTATTAAATGACATGATGTCACATGTTAGCAGATAAATTCACATGCTTAGACCAATCATTTAACATCTTAATCACAAATAACGGGAACCTTTATATAGCTGTTAAATGAGGAAATGTAAAAAATTCCAAATTAAGCCTCACTGATCTTGATCCTTCAATCTCTAACTCGACCAAATGTTTAAAGTCCGTGCAATGAACGGCAGAACCTACATGCAAAATATCTTTAATATAAGTAAAACATGTGAGACAGGACAATGAACAAGAGGGCCATGATGGCCCTGAGGTCGCTCACCTGTATATAGGCCCCCCACCCCCGGGCCAATTTTTACCCAAGGGCTTTTATTTGTTTATTTGAACAGACTTGGTAGACACCCATATGAAGATGTTTCATGCTAAACATCTAAGTTCTAGCTCATTGGCATTTTTAAAAGAAGATTTTTAAAGTGTTTACTATACACATATAGTTAAAAACAATGTCACCCCTGGGCCAGGGCCAGTTTTTGACCCCCGGGCGTTTATTTTAACAAAACTTTGTAGATATTTACTTAAAGATGTTTCATGCTTAATATCTAAACTCTAGCTATTTGGGTTGTTCCAAAGAAGATTTTTAAGTTTTTGCTATACACATATAAGGAAAATCAATGACCCCCCCCCGCCCGGGCGGGGCCAGTTTTTGACCCCAGGGCTTTTATTTGAACATACTTGGTAGACACCCATTAGAACATGTTTCATGCTAAATATCTTAGCTCTAGCTCTTTGAGTTCTTTAAAAGAAGATTTTTTAAGTTTTTACTATATGCATATAGGAAAAATCTATGACCCCCTGGGGCAGGGTCAATTTTGACCCCAGGGCTTTTATTTGAAAAAACTTGGTAGACATTCACTAGAAGATGTTTCATGCCAAATATCAAAGCTCTAGCTCTTATGGTTCTTTAAAAGAAGATTTTTTAAGTTTTTACCATATGCATATAGGGAAAATCAATGACCCCCGGGGCGGGGCCAATTTTGACCCTAGGGCTTTAATTTGAACAAACTTGGTAGACACTCACTAGAAGATGTTTCATGCTTAATATCTTAGCTCTAGCTCTTTGGGTTCTTTAAAAGAAGATTTTTTAAGTTTTTACTATATGCATATAGGGAAAATCAATGACCCCCTGGGTCGGGGCCAATTTTGACCCCAGGGCTTTTATTTGAACAAACTTGGCAGACATTCACTAGAAGATGTTTCATGCCAAATATCTAAGCTCTAGCTCTTACGGTTCTTTAAAAGAAGATTTTTTAAGTTTTTACTATATGCATATAGGGAAAATCAATGACCCCCTGGGGCGGGGCCAATTTTGACCCCAGGGCTTTTATTTGAACAAACTTGGTAGACACTCACTAGAAGATGTTTCATGCCAAATATCTAAGCTCTAGCTCTTATGGTTTTTTAAAAGAAGATATTTAAAGTTTTTTCTTTTGGTTGCCATGGCAACCAGAGTTCTGCATGGAATTAAATTCTTTGAACAATTTTTAAAGGTGACCACCAAAGGAACATTCCTGTGAAGTTTGGATGAAATTGGCTCAGTGGTTTATGAGGAGATGTCATTTAAAGCAAAAGTTTACGGACGGACGGACGACGGACGGACGGACGGACGCCTGACGAAAAGCGATCACAAAAGCTCACCCTGTCACTTTGTGACAGGTGAGCTAAAAAGAGCATAATCTTTATACTAATTTCTATACCAAAATGTAAACAAGATTGCATTTAAGAAAAATGCTATGCCACCGCATGGTTCAAATTTCATAGCTGTACATCAAAGGACACAAAAGAAGGTCACATCATCAAAATCTAGGTCACCTGATATCAAAGTTCAATTTTACAACTAAAACTGTGCACATGGTCAAAATGTCATTGCTGTACATCAAAGGACAAGAAAGTAGGTCACTGTCCCCTTGGGCAAGGCATAATTTTGACCCAAGGGTTTAATTCAAAACAATTTTGATACAGGTCCACCAAACAACATTTCAAGACAAATATCTAAGCTATAGCTTTCTCCCATTCAGAAAACATTTGTTTTATTTTTTGTTTTTACTATGTGTACATAATGAGAATCACTGCCCCCGGGCATGGCTTATTTTGACACCAGGGGGCAATTTTGAACAACTTTGGTAGATGACCTATAAATGATATTATATATCAAACATCAAAGCTCTATGCCTTGTACCTTCAGACAAAAATATTTTTTATTTTTTCACTATATGTACATAATGAAAATCAATGACCCCCAGGGCGGAACCAATTTTGGCCCCAGGGCTATAATTTGAACAATCTTGCAAGAGATTCACTACACAATGTTTCATGCAAAATATCTTAACTCTAGCCTTTGTAAATTTAGAGAAGATGATTTTTTAAGTTTTTACTATATACATATAAGGAAAACCTATGGCCACCGGGGGCGGGGCTAATTTTGACACAAGAGGCAAAATTTGAATAACTTTTGTAGAGTACCTTAAGATGATATTATTTAACAAATATTAAAGCTCTAAGCCTTGTACCTTGTACAATAAGATTTATTTATTTTTTACTATATAAAATATTGAAATCAATGACCCCAAGGGTGGGGGCAATTTTGACCCCAGGGCTATAATTTGAACAATCTTCCTAGAGGTTTACTACAATATGTTTCATGCAAAATATCTAACCTCTAGCATTTGTCAATTGCTAGAAGAATTTTTTTCGAAGTTTTTACTATAAGTTTTTACTATATACATATAAGGAAAACCAATGACCCCCGGGCGGGGCCGATTTTGACCCCAGGGCTATAATTTAAAAATCTGGGTAGAGGTCTGCCAGACATTGCCTTATGCAAAATATATAAGCTCTAGGCCTTTTGGGTCTTTACAAGAAGGTGTTTTAAGTTTTTACTATATGTACATATAGTGAAAATCAATGACCCAGGGGCGGGGCCGATTTTGACCCAAGGGCAATAATTTGAACAATCTTGGTAAGGGTCTACCAGATGATGCCTTATGCAAAATATCTAAGCTCTAGGCCTTTTGGGTTTTTACAAGAAGGTATTTTAAGTTTTTACTATATGTACATAGTGAAAATCAATGACCCCCGGGGCGGGGCCAATTTTGACCCCAGGGCTATAATTTGAACAATCTTGTTAGAGGTCTACAAGACAATGCCTTATGCAAAATATCTAAGCTCTAGGCCTTTTGGGTCTTTACAAGAAGATTTTTTAAATTTATTCTGATAATTCCTTTTGGTTGCCATGGCAACCAGATTTCTGCATGGAATGAAATTCTTTGAACAACTTTGGAAGCCCTTCACCCAAGGAACAATCCTGCCAAGTTTGGTTGAAATTGGACTAGTGGTTTTTCACAAGAAGATTTTTTAAGTTCACTATATAATCTATATAACACACACACAAACACACACACAAACACACACACACACACACACACAGGTGAATCGCTATATGCCACCGCATCGCAGATGCTGCGGTGGCATAAAAACAATATTAACTTGTATATAAACACAGTAAAAACTCTGAAAACTAGACCCTCTGAAAACCCAATTGTTTTAAAAGTCTCATTTTTTGCTTATAAGTTCATTGACAAATATCAACTTCATTTAGGCATTAATTTCATATAAGAAAAGTAAGAATACATTCCATCAATAATATATTTCAATAGTCAATAAAAAAGTTCAAAGGAGGTGTCGTTTTTTTAATTCCTAATATTTTGAATTATATTTATGAATTGGCAAAACAAAACTTATCATGACAATTATTGCAAAAAGAAATGAAAGGCTTAAACAAAAGGATATTGAAAAGTAGATACTAAAGCATTTAACCCTTTCACTGCCATAGGGACTGCATATGCCGTCCCTATTATTTTCGGCGTATTTGCCATATGGACGGCCTTTGCCTTTTCTTTAATAATAATAATAATTATAATAATAATAATTATAATAATAATAATAAATATATAGATAATTATACCATTAACAATAATTATTTTATACTAGCAGATTTGGAAACATATATAATTATTATAATACTAATAACAAATAATAATAATTATATTAATTAATAATATAGAAATTTCTTAGAAAACCTTCTGGCAAATAGATGATCAATAAATAAATAACCCTCTGGCAGCGAAAGGGTTAAACAATGAAAACCGTAATCCTTAAAAAAACCATACTTTTGTTGAATTCCGAGCAGGGTCCAGTTTTCTGAGTTTTTACTGTACAAACAATGGTTCATGGTAGGTTAGTAAAATAGGTAATAACTAGTTTACCTTAAAATCTATATCACTATAGGCATCATCAGCGGCTGGTTTGGTTTCACGTTTGACACGAACTTCCGCACCCGACATTCTGATACCAAAATGTCCCGCCCAAAATTTGTCATCTTTTCCTGATAAATGCATATATACATATAATTCATTACATCAATGTATATGTATTTCAAAATTCTGTGAGAGAAAAGTGTGAGCACAACTTCCAACACAATAAATCTTTAATTTCATTACAGGATATTTAACATGTCAATTGTTACACTGGAGAATCTGCAAGCATCAAATTCATTTAAAATTAGAGATTCTTTGAGAATTCAAAACAAATAAACGCTAGTCTAGTCTATCCAAATAAATTTGAAGCTATCAATAGTTTTATATATTTATAACATCCACTGAAAACCAAATTATGCAAAACAATTTTCTAAAATGTGTTAAAATCAATTAGTAGTCAATTACAATATCTGATATTATGAATGAATAAACAAACATTGTAAAGATTATGGCAAAAGAAAGACAGATGATATATTGCAAAATCATTATTATTCATGGAGCACTAATTTTATGGTTTTTCGTGGATAGGTGAATCCACAAATTTAAGATCCAAGCCATTTTATTTTGTCTGTTGTACGAGTATTTTGCATCACATTATTTAAATTTTACCTTTTGGAAAAATAAACAGTCTTAAATTTAAGTACCCAGGAAAATGTTCTTTGTGACAAAACCACAAAATTTCATGTCCATTAAGTGAATTCACAGCTAAGACTGAAATATTTTATCAATATCATAGTTTACTGATATGGCAGATACTGTTTGTCTAAAGTGTGTTAATTCGACATTTTTTGATGCATATCAGATTTTTTTCTTCTTTTTAAAACCAATCTTTTTGTTTTTTGCCTCAAATTTTGCTAGTATTGATGACATAGTTTTTTGTTGTTGTTTTTTTGGGGGGAGGGGGGGGAGTTAGCCTGAATCCAGTCTAAGTTAGCCTGAATCAAGTCTTGAGAACAAGAAATAAATATAACCTTTTGATGAGAATCCAACAATTCTAACGCCTGGTCCATAGTTTGAGAAAACATTAGATGCCTCCAACCATTTATCATTATAAACAGACCCAATCTGTCCAGTGCTATAACTTTTAATCACCTGTAAAAAACATTTAACAGAGAAAGTTCGCATCAATATTACTGGTGCAAGACATTTTGTTGAAAGACATCTTGTTGAATATGACATTTTGTTAAATATAACATTGATGTTTGATTGAATATGTCACTTTGTCAACAACCATACTACGACATCTGATCAAAAATAAGTTTTAATACTAGACCAAAATGATAAAAAATAAATGTTACTCCTACAACACTTGAAATGGGCCCCACCACACAAATTTTAAGGCGGTTTTAATTAGATTGCTATAATGTGGGTAAAAGAACCTGTATAAAAATAGAGCAAGTTCTAACCAAACTGTAACCTGCTGTAATGGATTTGCCTAGCTTTGAACTTGGAACAGTTAATTGAAATTTAAGGTATTTCATCATCAGAGTACAAAAATCGAGGTATCAACAGTACACAGTCTGGTCAGACTGCATCAAAGGCACTTTATTTTCTCTTTCAGCAGGGTAAAGGCTACAATAGCATATTAACAAAAACACCACATGCAGTGTTAAAAAGTTCAAAGGGACATAACTCCTAAAAATAGTGCTTTAAGGATATGCCTTTTGTCTTATTAAGTTAAAAGGAGCATAACTAGCTGCATCTGTTCAAACCCCGTCCCAAGCAAGCTGTTGTTTCCTTAAGCAAGAAACTTAACACTAATTGCTCAGTACTGGTTGGTTCCAGGAGCAGATTCGAAAGTGTGTTTATAAGCTTATAGCTTCCTACAAAATCAAACTAAAATAAATTATGTATTAACAAAATACCTGTCCATCCTCACTAAGAAGATCTACTTTCATTTCATAGAAGCCTCCTCCACAACCTCCTTGGTGATACCATTCCAACACCTGTAAATGTATCATAATATATGACCCATGTTCACTATGTAAGCCACAAATAAATACAAGATGTCTATGCCAACATCAAAGAGAAAACCTGGAAAACGTTTTGTTACAGTCTTATCAATCACAAACCTATGTGTTATTTATATACTATCATCCTCAGTCATGTAATATTTATATACTGACCTGTATATCAGGAGCTGTATCCAGATAATCAGCAGAGAAATGATCCAGCAAGTTTATTTCCTGATATTTTTCACACCAACTGTGGGAAGTTTCCATGGTCTTTTCTGTATTGTATCCACCGGCACCTATCTTAAAATCCCCCGTGGTATTCCAATGCTTCATGTCACCAGACTGAAATAGTAAACCCACTTGGTAACAGTACTATATCATATAATCATCAAAACATACAAGGGGCGTATTCAGATTAATAATATCATATGTTGTGGTTCAGATCCGAATATCCGAGGGAAAGATATTCCAGTCTGAAACGGCAAACATATATCAGATATTTTTTCTTGCATATTATACCATATTCCATCATATTTAAATTTTTTTTCTTCTAAATAAAACAAGTTTTCATGGAAATTTATGTCACTATTTCCCTGTTACTATTTTCTTACAACAGCGTATGAAAATACAAGCATTCAAAATGGCAAAATTACGTCATCCTAAGCATGCCATAGTATAGCATGCGACTCATTTGGAACTCCCATGCCAGATGAAATTTCCAGCATGGGTACAACTAACGGAAACACCAGTCTGATATGCAAGAAAATAAAATATATTGTCTTTAGGACTGTTTTATCGATTTCTGTAATATTACCCAACATTCTCAATACATCATAAAAAATATTTGACCAATCAAATTCCATTTCCGTATTTGAATTTAAATTACTTCAACAATAAAGTGAATTGGTTCCATTTCATTGTAGTTTTTCAATGATGTATATAAATTTATTATCAAAGATTGCAATACTTCTGAAAACTGGGAAAAATAATTAACCAGAAAAATGAAAATTTCTACATTGAAAACTAAGATTGAAAAGAAATATTACTATAAGTTCTTTCTAATTCTTTTCTTTTCTTAAAAGTAAAGGATATCAAAACGGTGCATCACATGATTTTTTTGTTTGTTTAATTTTCTTTTTTATTATAATTCAAAATATAAAAATATGACAATATTCAGAAGTCTGAATGAATGTTGTTAAAATTGACTTTTCCTGTTAATGAGCAATGAAAAAAAATCAGCCCCACCTGTTCTATTTATAGCTAAGTCAGATGCTCACAAACACTGAAACAGTATCACAAACGAAACCGTGCATTCTTTTGTGTAAGCGATATCAACCAGTGACTGTATAATAGCCAGTCAGCCATTTTTTACAATACTGTAAACTCTGGAAAGGTCAATTGGGTTTTCAACATGGTAATGAAAGTTGAATTGAAATGTTTAAACAAACATTACAATAAAGGGTTTGAGGTACAAAAGGTTACAAGACGTTACCATCTTTCCAGCTTGATAAGTTAGTCATTTCTATTAAAGGCAGACATACAGCAATGTGAATGGTCATTAAAAAATCAACCAATCAAAAGGATTTGTATACCTCAGCACTTGCATTCACCAGGAGATTTGGGGACCAGCCAACAATGGTCAGTTCTTTCCTGGTCACCACAATGCTTATTGGCAAAACAGTATCTGCAAGCTTCTGTTTGTCTTGGAGTTCTTCTTTCTTCTGAATCTCAGAAAGGCTTTTCTCTTTGTATGTTTTCTTATCCAGTAAGGCAAAGGCACCGATTTTTTCTAAAATTTTGCAAAGCATTTCATTATCATTCTTTTGTATAGATTAACTGAGATTAAGTAACAATTGTAAGGTCACTTTTTTCTAAAAATTGGTTTAAGATCTTTTGTAAAATGTCGGAGTCCACGCACCCAATCTTCAAAATAATACATATTTGAAAAAAAGGCCATACAATACCATAAAAAAAAAAAACCCAAAAAAATCACAAAACCCTAGTAATATGTTCAATAGAACTTCATTACAATAGTTCTGCTAAAAAATTTCTCTGAAATCTTTCAAGAAATATGGAAAAAATGGCATTGGAATTGCAGTCAGATTAAATTGTTAATGCTTAGTCATGATTTTCACTACTTTCATCATCAGAGTTCTCAAAACTTGGCCAACAAGCACTATTCAATCTTCAATCATCCATGACAAAAAGAAAGGAAACAAACAATTTTTTTTGTAGCATACAGTGTAACTTCTGCAGAACGACCTTCTAAAGAGCAAAAACCTCTTTAAAATAATAATATCAAATCTTCCCTTAAATCAGATTTAACACAAAATTTAACCTCTCTGGAGCAACCACTCTTAACCAACAACCAAAATCTTTGTCCCCGAAAGGGAGATGCTCTGTAGAGGTTGTACTGAGAATCAAATTATCTCCACAAAGTTTTCATGTGTGTATAATACAAACCTGAATGTCTAAATGTCTGATCCAAAGCCTTTGTCACAAACTGGAAAGTGCCGTCTTTAACCTCAACATCTATATCTATTGTATGACCAACAAACTGTGCGATATCAAGTGAATCTTTATGTTTTGTGATGTGCTGAAGATAAAATGAAAATAACAACACTTAAAATATGCTTCTTCTCAAAATAATATAATATAATATATATTTTTCTGTTTGACCCTTATCCCTCTAACTGTCTTAAAAGGCATGTCTATCTTACAATCCGGACAAGACCATTAGTAAATTAAGGGGAAAATAGCAAAATAAGGGTAATCTTAACCTACCTGTGTTATTAAATGACTAACTTCTTTCCCATTACACACCATGTTTTCACAAGTATTGTTTGTGTGCAGACGGAATATGTAGGATCCATTTGGAATGTCTGTTATCTGAAATAGGAAAAAACATCTAATATTACACAATTAAATGCTTCCAGTTATCCATTTTGTTATAAACCTTTAAACCAATAAGAAAAGTAAGTAAGATTTTGACAATTATTGCACAAAAATGCTTTAAATACAGTATTACTTGCTTAACATAAATTTCCAATTTTGATGATTGCTCCTGATGACTCTTTGAAATTGCATTTGATTGGTATGTCAACTTTATTTCTGATTTTTTCCTTTGCAGTTGATATGTTTATCCTTTCTAACATAGATATACATGTATCCTTTTATTTTTAAAATCAATTTATTGTTATACATATATTTGTCTTGTTCACAAGCATCAATTTTAACACAGTTACCTTGTAGTAAACTTTCTGACCCGCATCTCCAAAGCCGTGTCCATTTCTACTTATGACATACAAGAAACCGTCTAATGTTTTCAACACAGAATTTGGTATATCAGCATTTGTTTTGACACATCCAAAACTCTTAAATTGATATCCTGAAAACAAACTAGAACTTAGATGTCAAGGTCATTTAGGGGTCAAGGTCATATAGGGGTTAAGGTCATTTAGGGGTCAAAGTCGATAAGGGGTCAAGGTCATTTAGGGATCAAGGTCATAGACAGAGAGATATGGGATTAAACTGATTACGTCATTTGGTCTATTGGTCTAGAAGCAAAGAAATAAATTACCATAGAACATTTATTCATGTGTATTCAGACATTAAGGTAAAAAACATTTGTTTAAAAGGTTTAGCATACTGAAAAATAAAACATTTGCATGGTGTCAATATGTAGCAGCATTTATTGGTAAAAAAAAATTGAAATTATGTCATTTTAGTTTTACAACATCATGAAAGTTTATTATAGTTCAATTTAAATCAATCATTTATAAAAAAAAAATCATATTTGTATTAAAAAAACATCATACAACAACAAGAAACATGGCAATGCCATGAAACCAGGTTTTCAATTACCACCATTGTAGATAAATATGTTGTATTTGAAATACAAATACAAGCAACAAACAATGTAACTATGTGCAATGTAAAACATGAATAATGTAGGAGGAATTGCCACAGAGGAAGTGTTCACTATAATTATATTCTGTATAAGGAAAAAAAAACAAAGGAAAAAAACAAAGGGCCATAATTAAATAACAAATTATTCAATCACAAAACCCCGACAATATGCGCCAGGGCACTGGATGACAAAGCTACTGTGAAAGTTTGAACAAAATCCGTAGAGAAATGTAGGAGTTCAGCACAGAAGAATTTTTCCACTATATATTCTGTATAAGGAAAAAAAACAAAGGGCCATAATTAAGTTAAATATTATCCAATCACAAAACCCCGATAATGTGAGCCAGGGCACTTGATAACAAAGCTTTTGTGAAAGTTTGGTCAAAATCTGTTCAGAAATGTAGGAGAAGTTGCGCATGGTAAAACTTGTTCACTATATAATCTGTATAAGGAAAAAAAACAAAGGGCCATAATTAGGTCAAATATTACACAATCACAAAACCCTGACAATATGCCCCAAGGCACTTGATGACAAAGCCTCTGTGAAAGTTTGGTCAAATTCCGTTGAAAAATGTAGGAGGAGTTGCGCACAGAAAATTGTTCACTATAATTATATCTTATATTGGGAAAAAAAACAAAGGGCCATAATTAGGTCAAATATTATCCAATCACAAAACCCCAACAATATGCACCAGGGCACTTAAGAACAAAGCCTCTGTGAAAGTTTGGTCAAAATCCATTGAGAAATGTAGGAACAGTTGGGCACAGAAGAAATTATTCACTATATATTCTATATAAGGAAAAAAAACAAAGGGCCATAATTAGGTCAAATATTATCCAATCACAAAACCCCGACAATATGCGCCAGGTCACTTGATGACAAAGCTTCTGTGAAAGTTTGGTCAAAATCCGTTGAAAAATGTAGGAGGAGTTGCGCACAGAAGAAATTGTTTACGCCCGCCCGTCCGCCCATCCGCCTGTCCGCCCGCCCGCCAACATACCTCAATCTAATAACCAGTTTTTTCCTTCGGAAAACCTGGTTAAAAATATGGTATTAGTGATTCTTTTTAAAACTATTTTTTTTTTGAAAGTAGTCAAAAGAAAGTTTGGAAATATTAACAAATCTATTAAACACACTTTTTTCAGTTGGTTAAACACATATGTAGATATTAAAAAAAACAAATATGCTTTTAAAGGAGCTGGTTGAAGTTTCAACAAATTAAAGTTACAACAGAGAAAAGGTCCCTATTTAGTCCCTATTTCATGAAAGAAAATTTTAATTGATTAATTCAACTTACCTTGATTAAAGTCAAAGTCATAATTGGCATACTGTGAGAATTCACTGCTGTAAACAATGTCATTCATTGCTTGATATGCCTGAGAACCACAATTCAGGGCATACACCACCCCTGGCCTCTGAAAGGTTAACTGGTGTGGGGAACCAGTTAGTTCAATAAATACTTCTTCATCAGCTGAAAATGTGAAACAAAATAATTTATTTGGTGGTTACATTTTCATTTGATAACGCCTCGATATATTTGATGCAGTGGAATCGATATTGAATCGAAACAAACTTTTGGTGTATCATTGCAGCCCTAATCTTCAACACCATTGCTCTCAGAACAAAGGACTTTATTTTGAGATGTGAATTAGCAGGCAGAAAGAGACCCTAAAGAAACATTAAATATTTCTTATTTTTCTAGAATTTATCAAAAGAAGTTAAAGAAAGATTTCAAAGAATGCATCACTTTTTGAGTGTTTTTTCCAAGTATAGTATAGAGACAGGTCATATTTCATATACTTACTTTTTAAGTGCTTCCTTGCAGCAAAAACTCTGACCATGTGAAGTCCAGCAACAGTTTCATCTTTCGACCAATCATGTTTAAATTTATAAACACCATCTTCCTTCTTTAGTTGTTTTCCTGGTATAACCATAATCACTTTGTGGTTCCACATGATATGTATATCAGAAAACTTATTGACCTCTCCGATGACCCCAGTTTTACTGACCTTGACACTCCCTTTAGTCGGAGTTGTTTCCCCTGTTGCTAAACATGAATCTTGTTTTATTGATGACAATAATTCCTTTTTAGCAGCATGGATATTGGACATTAGGCCATATTTACATGGCCCATCTGGACCTGTGACCTCCAGCTGACCTTTTTTGAGCTCAAATGTCCATAAATCAGACTGTTTGTAACTTTTCCCATAAACTCCAGCAAGTTCTTTTGCAGATGTCACCTTTCCATCTGTAAGTGTAACAATGTACATACATGAGACAGTGGAATCTTCAACACCATTGCTATTAGAACATAGCACAACCAAAATAGCATGACCTTGAACTTTTTCCATGAGAACTGTTGGTGATTTTCCATCAGCTGTCTGGTTTTGTGAGACAAAAACATGTGATTCGTCCGCTGTCTCTGTGAGGTTGTTTTTATTGTGGAACAGTCCATATCTACTGCCTTTTGGTCCAGTAACAGCAATATTTTCACTGTCAAGGCTAAATTTGAACTTATCATCCCCAGCAAACAACTTTGCCAAAAATTTATTGTCTTTAAATCCAGATTTTACCATGTATACCGCTGCTTGGCCATCATCTCCGCTACAAAGAATCATTGTCAATCCGCTCCCATTTACATTTAATGGTAATACTGTTGAACCCCCATCATCACTGCCCTGTATAAATGTTCCGTTTCTCAAGTTACCATAGCGACAATCATTCGTCAAAAGGCGAAGATGATTTATACCAAAATTGCAATCCACATTAAGCATACCACTCTCATCTGTTATCAAGTAATTTTCTGCAGAAAAATGACCCTCGTGTGCACGAAAAATCGACTTGTGCTTAAAATGATTACAATCGAATCCACCGGACACCAGAAATGCCTCAACATTGGTTTCTTCTCCCTTTCCACCAAACTGAGTTGATATTAATAGCAGGCCAGCACATCCCCCATGGTAAGCGTTGACATTATAATCCAACTTTGTAAGGCAACGAATGGGCCAAGTTGCTCTTGTAGAACCATCTACTGTTGTCACAAATTCTTGAAAAAAAAAAATAAAAAAATTGCAAGTTAATTCAATGTTCAGGGAATAAAAATGCACAAAGAAAGCAAATGTTTCTATAAAATTCACCTACGAGGAATTTTTCTTGACAATGGAACATGGGTAGAATTTATTGACGGGTTGGTTGATAATTATGCTCTAGAAAATTTAAGTGATTTTTTTCAATTCGCCAACATTTCTGCATCGTTAACTTAACCGTTTGTACAGAAATAGATTTTAGAAGTAGAAAAGATTAACTAAGATCTCTATCTCTTAAAAGTAGTTATGTCAAACCTCAAGAAAGGACACAGACACGTTAATGCATCAAACATCACAAAAGGTTAAAAAGTGTGGTGAAAAAAGTTTTAATTAAAAGAAGAAAAGATTAAAAAACCTTTATTATCTGTTTGTTGTTTGTTGTCCTGTTTCACACTAACAAGTACAGTATCTTCATCTGATGTATCCTGCATCTCCAGGTTGGTCACATCATCTTGCTTATTTTCCCGGAATGGTATTTCCTTATGCTCTAGCTCAGTACGATATCCCCTTAATATAGTTGGGGAGGCCTGAAAAAAGAAAGAGAAGCTTTCAGACAAGCAGAATAACTTGTATAGGGTTAATGCACCAACTTTTTTTTACAGTAGGAAATAATAGCAAGATGGTCATAATGGTCCTACATCTCTACATCTTATGATCTTTTAGGCTCCAGGAAGCATTCTTGATAGTGAATAACATAAAGTGCAAGAATTTGTTTCCAAATCCAGCTTGGGCAAATACATGTAGACTATGTGTAATGGGCAAATACATGTAGACTACGTGTAATGGGCAAATACATGTAGACTATGTTTAATGGGCAAATACATGTAGACTATGTGTAATGGGCAAATACATGTAGACTATGTGTAATGGGCAAATACATGTAGACTATGTGTAAACCAAACTGAATTTAACTGAATCATATGATTTTTATTAGATTGACAGTGATTTTTCTCACTTAATTGGGAAGAAGCCTTAGCCTCTATATTTTGGGGAAAATTATTGTTAAAATTTCTCATTTGGGAAGTAAAAAAGCTGGTTTAAGTTCAAATTTTTGGGAAAACTGCATGATTTTAAAGAAAATTTCAATGGGGAAGAGGCCTTTTAAAGGCATCTGCTATACAAGGTGAAAAATCACTGATTGTCAAATATAAAATAAAGACAAAAAAATATTATAAATCAATCTAGATGTAGATCTTACATGCAGATAAGAATACCAAACAGTTTATTACAATGTATATACATGTATGTCTAAATACACTCGTATGCATGAAACGTTTGAGTTAAAATATACGTGTATATTACCCAGTGATCATATTTATTGACTGTGTAACAACTAAGCTTATACACAAACATAATAGTAAACAGATGTTATTATGCTGGGCAATATGGATCAATATTTGCAAATAAACACTAAAATAAGTCAATATTTTAATTTAAGATTTTGTATTTCCTGCACTTTATATTACTATGTTAAACTGTGGTAAAAGTACAAAAATTGGATTATGTAAGAACATAAGATGCATTCATATACCTTTTTGGAAGATCCTGACCCCATTTTGATTATGGTATATCTCACAAAACTGTTTGTAGATTGTCCCTCAATTCAAGTCCTGAAATAAATCAAACTTATATAAAACTACTTAAGTACTATGTAAATGAAAGATTGTTATTTCAGGAAAAAAACATTTATTAAGTTCAACTTAATTGTCATTCGTGTATTCAAAATTAAAGATGTTTATTTTACATTTCAAAAGAGACAGTATAGTAATTATCAGTTTTTTTAAATATCAAATTTGAGCATAATATACTGTATCTTAATGAAGTCATTTTGATGCTGAAATTTGTTAAATCAACAAGAAACAGTTCCAATTCAAACACAGGGAAGTCTGATTGAGTTATTCAGTAAAATGCAGAACAGTACATAAATGGAAGTATATGTAATTTGTCATGTGTAAAATATTTTCTAGTTTCAATAGATGCTGAGCATGCTCTCTTTCTAGAGGATTCTATTTAAATGTGCAAACAAGACATAATACATATAGATCTAACAAAAGGTGGAAGTATTGTGCCTTTAAAATATATATGGCTCTGGAATCATTTCCCATATTATACACAACTACTTGTTAGGTGTGCAGTCTTAATTATAATATTATTATAACAATTTCAATTCTCTTTATAAATCCATTTCATCTCTGAAATTCAGAATGAAAACATATTTGGACACTTTAAACTAAAACAAAACTTTATCTAAAAAGAAATTATTTTGAAATCACCATGATATAGTTATTGAACTCTAAATATAGGCTGCACATTAACATGTGTCATTTAGAAATATAAAATTATTTATATTAACTTATTTAAAGCATTTTAACCAAGGAAATGCTAAATTCTGACATGAATAGAGGGGAAAGCATGTATTATAGAATAAAAGAAAATTGATCACTGAAATAGGTTTCTTTCTCGAAGAATATGGCAGTGTAAATTTTTAAATGAATAAATGACAAAGTAAAGAAAATATAAGCAATATTTAATCATTTGACCTTGACAGTTTCTAAATAAACGCAACAGGTTGACTTATCTATTGTGATAGGTAGTGCACCGTGGAGCTATAACGGTTAGTTTGTTTGTCTAAGCATTAGCTGGGAAAAACCCACATTTGCCAAGTTTCAGATAAATCTATTGACTGTATAATTAAAAAACAAACGCATCTTTCTTGTATTATTCTGTAAGCCATTTGTTAAAACGTGTAAGATCCTTATAATCCAAAACAACAGTACCGTCACTGGGAAGGTGTGAAAAACGCAATAAAGGAGACATTGTCATGATATTCTAATATTTTCCAATTAAGTGTCATTAAACAACAAACGCATCTTTCTTGAACTCTTTATTCAATAACAAGAGCTGTCGGAAGGACAGCACGCTCGACTATTCTAAGTGCTTGATAGTAAAAGGGCCTTGATAATGTTAAATTTTTTAAGATCACAAAAGGTCTAATTTTTTTTTAATAAATTCATGTTATAGGCCTTAGAGAGAGTCTAATTATACAGTATTGGCTTGACTATTCGGAAGGTAATGTCACAAGGTTGTTTTATTGAGTATAATAATACTAATTACCTATGAATACAAAAATTTGACAGAAAAGGTACAAAGGGATTCTAATTAAGATGTTTTATCAAGTAAATCACTGCTTTATTATTATGAATGCATAAAATTGTCCCAAAAAAGGCACAAACCCTTCAGTAGTAATTGAGATAACAGCTTACAAGCAAAACTTTACCATGAATTTCTAAGTTGAAAAAGGGGAGAAAAATCAGCCTAAATGCAAGATAGAATTATGGATCTTGTCAGTGACCTACAATTATGACCCTAAATGCATATGTGAAGTTTTAAATAAATATCTTTAATAGTTATTGAGATATGTAAAACTTGCATGTTAACATTAACCAAGAGACTAAGTAGAAAAGGGGATATGAATCAGCCTTAATGCAAGATAGAGTTATGAAACTTGGTCACAGTGACATTACAATTATGACCCTCCAATTATGACCCTAAGTGCATGTGTAAACATTCAAGTAAATATCTTTGAAGACCTTTAACCTTTAACCAAAAATTTCTAAGTTTCAAAGGGGCAAATAATTCTTCAAATTTTGCAGGCAGAGTTATGCAATTTTGCAAAACTGATGTACATTGTTACTATAAAAAAGTATTTTAAATTTCAATTGAATATCTCAAGCAATAATTGAGATATTTGACTTTACAAAAGAACTTTAACCAAAATTTCTAAGTTCCAAAGGGGCATAATTCTGTCAATATTGTAGGCAGAGTTATCCAACTTGTCAATCTGATGTACCTTGTTACTATAAATAAGTATTGTAAGGTTCAATTGAATATCTCAAGCAATAGTTGAGATATTTGACTTTACAAAAAACTTTAACCAAAAATTCTAAGTTAAAAAGGGGCATAATTCTGTCAATATTGTAGACAGAGTTATCTCACTTGTCAATCTGATGTACCTTGTTACTATAAATAAGTATCGTAAGTTTCAATTGAATATCTCAAGTAATTATTGAGATATTTGACTTTACAAAAAACTTTAACCAAAATTTCTAAGTTAAAAAGGGGCATAATTCTGTCAATATTGTAGGCAGAGTTATCCAACTTGTCAATCTGATGTACCTTGTTACTATAAATAAGTATTGTAAGTTTCAATTGAATATCTCAAGTAATTATTGAGATATTTGACTTTACAAAAAACTTTAACCAACGCAGACGCCGACGCGGACGCCGGGGCGACTACAATAGCTCTCATATTCTTCGAATAGTCGAGCTAAAAGTAGTTGTTATCTTTGAAAATAAAACAACTATGATTCGGAAAATTGGGATAATAATACCTGGGTGAAAGGTACGCTTACTTTCTCACTGAACTTTGCGGCATGTGATATCATATGTAATTTAAATCTCTCTAAATATTATATAGTATGTCTCTGATACATACATAGGCAAATTATTTCATGTTTTAATCATATTGGAAGGGTTATCTGCATTCATAGCCTTCTTGCTGTTCCTGTAGCATAATTAATTTAGTTTATGGCGAAAGGACAGACCTGATGCCCTCTGCTGTTGAAGCGCTTCAAGATTATGGTTCACATCAAAAACGACAGTTCACGATGCACTAGCTATACTACAAAAGTTACTCCCCTTTGTAAACAAACTCGTTGCCAACATATTGCGGAAACCTTAATAAATTATGTGATTAAATACTGTCACAGTGTTAATTCATTTAATATAAAGAATTACATATCAGGTTTTGTTACAAAGGAAATCATATGCTTCATTAAATTGAGACAAACCTTTTAAAGCAAAATCCTGAAATTTGCGAAATCGTAAACAAAGTTTAGAAAGTTACCTTATCACCGTTTGGCAACTTCCGGTAAGTCCATTTTTTGTTTTTATACTTATTTTTCTCTTAATTTCTTGAATACAATGAGATTTTACAAGTGACACATTACATAACTTCTAAATTATAGTACAATTGAATTAACATAACTCTTGAATTGTAGAAAAATGTTATTTCACCAATTGTCATGATTGTCACATATTTTCACGATGACTAAAAAATGCAATTATTGTTAGAATAGAAGAATTTCATACAATGACTGATTTGCATTTAAATATGGTATTAAGTACGTCTCTTGTTCATGTGCTAATAAAATTGAATGTCTCTGCACGTGAATGTGACATACATGCCATAGCATCCGTCACACCCTGTATTGTCACGGACGGCCGCCCCAGAGAAGTGTTTTCCAGGTGAGAATAAAAATCTTCAACTTATTTACAGCAAATTTCTTTACAGCAAATGTGTCAATGACTGTCTGCATAAATGACTCTGCCTTAAATTCCCTAGCAGTCACATATATGCATGTCAGCAAAATCATTTGAAGTCTTGATAAGACCACCCTATAATGATACTTCTAGGGCACCAAACGATCTCTAGCGCCTGTCAGTCACTTGTCTCTAGGATCAGTTCATACAAAAGGGAGAGGTGTGAAATTAAATCTTGTCAACAATTACTGACTTAAGCACAATAGTTGTGATTTTGTTTTTAACTGTCATTATATACATAAATTTGTAAGAAAATGATTGTATGGAAATATTTCTACTTCTTCAAATGTTTGCATATTTGCAATTATTTCAGGAGTGTCATGATTTTGTGCATTATTTTTATCATCTGAGTTTCGAGACAATTTCTTAGAAATGTTTTAATTTATTAAAAAGTAGAAAGGTACATTCAATGTTTGGTCTAAGCACGACTATGTGTACATTAATCTATTTAAGTATGTCTATAATATAAATCATGGCGACTTTTCCGAGATACATTACTGGACTGACTATTTAATGTCCTGCCCTTAATGAGCTGCAAGTTGTAAATATCAGTATACCATTTACTAGGTTGTATGCTGCTATGTTAATTTTAATAAACATTTTTGTGTCCCTGAAATTAGTCTAGAATTAATGGATTGTGACGTGAATTTTAACTGTCATGATTGCCACAATATACCATGTGTACTTACACATCTTATAATACAAAATATTTATATTTGACCATTTTTATATTTGTTGCTCTTTGCAGCAGGAAGTATCACTATTTTATGCTATTTAGATTAATTGTTTAACCCCAGCATAATATTGTCTTGAAAATGCTATAAAAAGTAAATGCTAATACTATGTAAGTTTGTACTTTAAGAGCTTTACTCAAGAAAGTAAAGTGATTTTACTATCTACTCATATGTACTTTTTTGTCATTTGTGTATATTTTGCCTCTTATACTAATCTGCTAATATGATGTACATGTAACCCTATAAGAACTGAGAACTAATATTTTTTCTCTTTCAATTTCTTGTTTCAGCTGAGCAATGGCATATCCAATCAAAAACCCAAATGACCCAGTACTGCAATCTCTGAAAAAATCTCTTGGACTCGATCAGCCTCGTCCAAACTCTGAATCTTATCCTAATGCAGTAAATATCCCTCTATATGGTGAGATTCAATTTGTCCGAGACAAAGATGGTATGTTGTTGTTATCGGCGATTGTTGCCTACTGGATTTATGGTATATGGTCATCATACTATGTGATTATAGAACCTCATTGGCGTGATGGACTCATTCCAGATTGGATTGTATATTGTAAGTTAACTTATTACTATATCATATAATACATGTATACACATCATTTACTTGACTGATTTTGTTTTATATTGACCAATTTTGCTTTTAAACAAAAACTGGTCAGAGAAAGTTTAGAGATTTCAATTGTTAAGTACTAAAATTGGGCAATTTTCAATTAGCTTTAAGTATAATATAGAGTGCATACTGATTGCATATAGGTACAGGGTGGCCAGATTGTGTTTGCAAGAGACAAAGATAAATCAGGGTTTCTTTTAGCCATTCAAAGGTGATGTTAAGTTCATTCAAACAAAGATGATAATCCATAATATTTTGCACAAATAGTTTGATATTTTTATTTTATGCTTTATAAATGCAATAACTTCTACTTGCAGATAATATCTGAATGTTTCATACACTTGCTATGCTATTCAATAAATTATATAAGCACTATTCTTGACGTTGTGTCATTAATTCTAATTGCTGTCCTATTTTATTTCAGATCATTTTATAGTTGCAATATTGTGTTTAGTGTCATTATTTCGTGCATCAACTGAGAATCCTGGCAAAGTGCCATTTGTGGAAGAAAAATTTGCACGTAAGTAAATTTAGGTTTAATTTCAAAACATGTTTAATTATGTTTGAAAACATGGTTTCTTTTAAAAAGTTAATAATTATTTTGTCACATAAACATTATGAGGTCCTTGTGTAAAAGTGGAAGACCCCCGAGTGCTGTGTCATACTTGATTTTACAAAATGATATGGCTGGGTATCTTCATTGAACCACTTAACATTGTAACATAGCCTTGTGTCACTTCACTGAAGTTCCAAAATTTGGAAGTCAGAGACTGTGATAAGGCTGACATTGGAAGTCACGCTATATAGGTAAAGAAAGAAAAGCATTATATTTTGAAAGTCTCAAGCCAAAATCAGGAGTAAATGACTCTCACTTATGGAAGCACAGTCAGTAAATTATAGCAAATCAACTAATCTATCCGTGATTTTTTCCCCTGTATTTTACAGCCAAATAAAGGCTGTTTCCCCTAGCCCAAAATAGGTATATTTTCCCCAAAAAATTCATATATTTTCCCCTAAAATGCCCTGTGCACATTCTTCACAGAAGCGGCTGACTTGTATCAGCTAGAAGACAGAAAGCTGTCCCTATAGATAGCCTGTGCAATGAACCATGCATGTAAAATTAAAATTTTATAAAATTTCATTCTCAGTTGTTTGAATTTATTTTTCCCTTTTCTGATTTCATGCGCTATATTTTCCCCTTCTGAAAGTCACAGGTTGTTTTCAAAATTGGAAAAAAAGTCCCTGTATACTATATTTATATTAAATTGATGAATTAATTTTGCAATATAATCTTATACATTTATATTCAAGCCAAAGAAAGTTTTTAAAGTGTTTTTTTTATCTCAGAATTTTGTTGTTATAGAAAAACATATCGAAAGTTATAATATATCTTTTCATGATTTGTTTAGAACTTAATAGTTGGGAGCCATGTCCAACATGTGGAAAGTGGCGGCCAAATAAAAGTCATCATTGTCGAAGGTGTAAACAGTGTGTCCTTAGAATGGATCATCATTGTCCATGGTAAGTCAGTTTAAAACTTTTTGTTGCTTATCTGCTGTATAGTCATAAGTATCAAAATTTATTTTGCTAATATATAATAGTAATGTAATTCATTATGCAGGGCTTTTTTCGTAAGTAAGGAAAGGGAATGGGCCCATCAGTAAAGACCTAATAAAGGCTGTTTCCTCTAGCCCAAAAAGATATATTTTCCCCAAAAATGATATGTTATCTCCTGAAATGCCCTCTGAGCACATTCTTCACCAGAGAAATGACTTAGCTGCAGCTGACTTATATCAGCTAGTTGATAAATTTTATAGACTGAGAGTCAGAAAACTGGCCCTATAGATAGCCTCAGCTATGTACAATGCATGTTAAATTGAATTGACATTGAAAATTTAATAAAATGTATGGGTAAATTCCACTATCAGTTGTTCCTCCTTTTCTGATTTATTGTGCTATATTTTCCCCTGCAGAAAGCCACAGTTTGTTTTGAAAATTGAAAAAAAAGTTGTGCTGATTTGACTTTCAAATGAGTTACTGCAATTCTCACAAGATTATACATGTTAAACAAAATAGAATTCACAAAGCACTGCTAAGTTAATATTAAATAATTTATATATGTAAATCACTATGCTCCCAATATATAAAAAGATTTTGTAGCTTTCAGAGCAATATTTATTATATACTCATTGTAAAATGATCCCTTTATTTCAAATACATTTTATAGATATTCAGATGGTGTCACATTATTATTGGATATTTCAGGATAAATAACTGTGTTGGTGAGGGGAATCATCATCTGTTTTCACTGCTGCTGTTTTATGCCTTTTTGTTTAGTTTCAACACATTTGTCTTCATGATGCTACATTTCTGGTATTGGCCAAAATGTTCAACATGTGATCCTGTAAGTATATTGTATCATAGATAAAAAAATTATTCTAATTCCTACAAGGCATAATAACGCAGTAAGGGCTATTTTTGCATAATTTTACCTCTTTTTTGTAAATTACGTGGGTTGCAAATGCCATTGATAATGGGTTAATTGCTTCCTATAGTTACTTCACAATCTTATACTTTTTAATATATTTTCGAAATTTTCATTAAAATTAGCGTGAATCTAGAGGCTTGCTGCTTTAAGTAAAACCTACCCTTGTATGACAGCTTGTGGTTCATTAAGATGGTCTGTAATAGTGGGATGGTCTCAGTTTCGAGAAGAACGCCTCTTATTAAAACTGTGGTCTCATTGCTTTAGTATGGACATAATTATAATGTTTATTAGTAATGTTAAATGCAGAGATAATATTTGATGTTTTATCAGCCAGTAAGTGAACATATTAGTATATATGAAGTTTTTCAAAACAATGCATCTTGAAGGGTAGCAAAAGATGCATAAGTGGGCAACTTTACACATTTATAATGTGCAATACGAATGACCGTTGAAAGAATTTCATGATCAAACACAATGAGAGTGACCTGTACCATCCAGGAGTCGAACTTGGATCACCCAATTCACAGTCCAACGCTATTTAAGCTAACTGGATAGTGCCAATTTGGAAAGTCTGTTGATAATAGTATTACATACTTGTTATGTAGGTTCCCTATCACTTAATATGAATATGTGAGCAGATGTTAGGTCAGTAATATGATTTATTGATTAAGTCTATTTTTGCTATTCATTTCAGGAATCATTTCCAGTAAAATATGGCATATGGTTTTCCTACCTAAGTTTTGTGATGTCCTCTGCAATGGCAGTTTTCATGTTTTCACAATTCTTTTCACAATATTTTAATTTACTTCTGGTAAGTAAAATTTGTCTTTTTATCTTTTTCTACATATCCTAACAATGCAGTTTTGTTTTTTTTTGGATTTAAGTTGAAGTGCATATGGGTTTCAAGAAATTTAAAAATCAAGGGAGAGTATTCTGTTTGTCTTGTATAACATTAATCAAGGGAGGTCATCTAAACAGTTACATACAAAAATATGATAAATTAAAGTTAAAATCATGCTTTGTGTTTATTTTACAGTTCTTGTGAACTTTTCAGATATTAAGATTAATAAAAAACATTCAAAATATAGGAAATCATTGCCACTTATAAAATGTGTGCAAAAATTAAAACAGAAATGAAATGCACAGTGTTTAAAGTTTGAATACATGTTTAAAGATTTAACACATTTTTGTCCCCTTTAAAACAACAACACAACTACAACAAAAAGAACATACATACACTATGAAGACTGTACTCTTTAATTAATTTTTTTTATTAAAATGAATTCATTTTTGCTGCAACACAAGGTTCTTCAAATTTGTTAGTCAAGGGAGGTAAATCCTCAGGTCTTAAGTTATATGGATTAACTGTACAGTACACAATTTATTTCCCTTTATCTTTTTTCTCAAAACATTTTTTTCTTTCTTAACATATAAGACATTGCACTTTTACTTGTTCTTTTTTATCATTCAGAAATGTACTTTAATTAAATACAATTAAATACTAATTTTGTAAAGAAAAACATTAATTAAGATTTTACTGAAAAGAACTCTAAAGTGGTTTCCATGTAATATGCAGGAACAAAAGTTTGATTATTATTATTAAATAAATTGTTATACAGTTCTTAAGATCGTTCATGATTTGTCACAATGGAACTTGTCATCTTTCAAGACCCTCTTATTGAAAGATCCTGTATGTTGTAATTAAGGATGTAACGCACAGTTTAACCAAAATTATATATACATGTATATCAGTTAATTCCAACACAATTTTTAAACATTCAAGAATTTGTGATATTTATACAAAAAAGTTTTAATTTACATTATGAAAAAGTTTTAAAAATAATACATATATTTTCTTATAAGAAATACAAACTAGACTTTATCAGAAATATATTTCTAATTACCTCCCTTTATTTACATGACCTGTTAAATTCGATCAAATGTATGTAAGTAATAATTTTTGTTACTTATGATATTTATAATTCTTCATTTGAGCATCAAGTTTTATTGTTTGAAACCATAACATTATTCATGTACAGGAATTTATATTCTGTTCATTCTCGAAACAAATTCTGTAGCATTTTTCCATTTGAATAAAACCGAACAATTTTGCTTCCAAATCTTGTTGTTTTTAATGTTTTGAATGCAAGCACAAGTTATGATGCATTATCTCCCTTATACCTTAACCGCAACTTGCTTAATTTATAAAAATGAACTTGTCCCGCTTCCATTCTGATCAGACTGTGCAGAAGTACAGGCTGGCCTGGCTCTAAACTGGTGGTAAAGGCTTATCACTTTAACTTCCTGAAAGGTTAAAGATAAATATTAGAATGAAAAGTGTTTCAAGAATTGAACAGTTAATTTTAAGAGTTTCTAAAAATTAGAGTATTAATCATGGGAATTTTTTTTAAATTTTTTTATATCACAATTGCTGTTTCATTGTTCTAGATTGAGGAAACAATGTTTAAGTATGCTAAGTTTCATGAGGTTTTCCTTGTCTCAGAATATCAACCAAACAAGGAAAGTAAGATAAGATAGAATGGTCAAGTACCTACATTGTACATTTCCTTGAATCTTAATAACAGTACAGAAGGAAAGGTCAACAAAAAAAAAAAAAAAGTGTCCACATGGCCAAGTGGTTATCATGTCGGACTAGTAATCTAATGATCCCGCTAGTCGCTTGGGTTTAAACCCCGTCAGGAGCTAGTTATTGGTTTCTTGAGCAAGAAACTTAACACTCATTGCTCATCACTATTTGGTTCCAGGAACGGATTCAAAAGTGTCTATAAGCTTATAGCTTCCTACACAATCAGACTAAAATAAATTCTGTGTAAACCAAAACAATCAATTTTCTGAAATGCAATTTTGTAATAGGAAATATTTTCAGAAATATGCAAACATTGATTGAGATACCTTGCTAATATTATTATAAACCCTGTATCCTGCTCGAACCACAGTCTGACCAAGCCCAACACCATATAATAAAGTTTTCTAAGAAATTATTGTTTATCTCTCCTTGTTTCAGAATAGAACAACAATAGACAATATGAAAGTTAAAAGTGTTGATGATGTTGACTATACCACGTAAGTTATATAGTATAATCTCTGTAGGACAATATTACCAGTTTCAGATTTTGTATTAAAAAAAAATAATTCACTAAATTCATGCAAACATTTTTAATACTCTGCCACAATTCATTGATACATTTAACCTTTGCTTGAACACTTTAATTTATTCATTAAAGGGACTCCTTTAGGTTCCTTTGGCTTGACAAGACTAGACAATGTTGTTTTAGATGCAGTAAGCATTTAATTTAGATCTTGGCCAATATTATGTTCAAAATTTCAGATAATTTACAGATAAATTGTGAAAAATGACCATAAAGGAATGTGTTTTTAAGCTTCCAATTCAAATTTTGGAAAAGACTTGAACAAAGTTCAATTTGATTCAGAGTATATATCTTTATATTTTGCATATCTTTTTGGTTTAAGTACCCCAGTTGATTAATGTAAGAAATTTAAATTTTAACCCTTTTGACCTTAGTGGAGTTCCTTTAAGAAAGACCTTCCCTTATAAGAAATACATTACCATAACCTTGGGCCAGGGGCATATGATTTTACGAATTACAAATAAAAAATTGTAAAGATTTACAAGTACAATTTTATAAAAAATGTATACGTGTATTTACATAAATTTCTCACTATTATTAATATAAAAAGCAAAGAGGATTAAGAATGGTATGTAAGGTATGGCGAGATAATGTGATATGTCAATAAGATGTCCTGGTTATTAGTTGTTTGGTTCACAGGTATACAATGACATTCAGGACAATACATGCTTAGTCAGCATAATACTGCCACCATCATCTTACACAACCAACTCGGTTAACACACGTGTCTTTACTACATTAAATGTTCTTAACTTCCTGGTCGAAAAATAAAAACACCTTGAACGGTTTTTCCCACATTTTTTGTAACAGGGTTATGTCTTGAAATACAAATTAAAAAAACAACAAAAAACAACCTCTTGAAAAAACCCTTTTGTTAATGTTTTCTTATCACACTACTTCCTGATCTGAAGTTATAACTTTATACTGTGTATAAGGAAGATTAAAAGGCCATTGGGAATTTACCAATTACAGTAGACACAAATGTAGGCTTCAACAAACAAATTGTATGAAACTGAAATATGGGCTGAATAAAAAAATAAAACATGAAATGTAAACAAACATCATGGAAATTCCTTTTACAGCAGATAACAATATTAAAATATTTAGTTAAAACCAGTAGTTTTTGGAGAGAAAAAAATACTACTGTTTAAGTCTTATTTACCTGTTGTTATATTGATTTAGAAAACTGTTTGACTATTTATTTCAATGAATATATCTGACTCTTTGCTGTTTAAAGGTGAAGAAGCCTTTGATATATTTTGTGCTTTGAGGTTGGGGTGTTTATTTTTTTTTAAATTTACCATTTTTTTAACACATCTCTCTTACATTCAACTCCCACAACTACATCCTGTCCTTTTCACCCAGTGCTCAGAACAAAAAAAATCGAATGCCCTCTGAAAATATAGAAGGTGCAAGAAGAGAAATAAATACATTAACCATGAACATGCTAGCATTGACAATAAAGAACTTATGCCACCAGTCAAGAGCCAGGCCAGCCATTGTTTCTGTTACATGTGCTTGTATTATTTAAATGCTGAATTCCCTACAAAATACAAGTGAACTATTCCAAATTCACAGCTGGACAAGACCATTACACACATTTGGGTGTGATTGTTAAGATAATACAAGATCTGATATGGTAAAATGAAGTGTTTGTTGTTGTTATGATGTGAGTCGACTTTTATCTCGACAGAGATGTTTATCTTGACAGCTCCCTGTGATTAAATACCAGATAAAACACCCTATCTCTAACACATTCCTACAGTATTATCATAATGAGCTGTCTATAATATGATTTTATCTGTCAAACATCTGATAGGTTCATATGATCTCACACATCTTAAATTATTGACAGTTGAGGTAATGTTAACTCTTGTTTTACCTGTATAATAGTCGGTTACCTGTGTCTATTATTGTTTTTACCTATCCTAAGCAAGTTTCTGTTTCATCACTGATTTAATTAAAACCATGGTTTCATGTTAAAGATAATGTGACGATGAATAGTAATAACAAAATACATACCATGTATGTATGTGTACTCATGTCTTTTCCCATTGCTACATAGGCAAAGTTATAGACCAAAAAAAGTTTTCCTCATAAGGGAATTAAAGTATCATTCAAATTTTATGATAATGATAATTATCATAGTTTGGTAATGTTGATATGATTGCTGATTTGATGATGATTATGTTTTGATTATGATGATGATTGTGATGACGATTTTGATGGTAATATGATGATGATGATGATGATGGTGGTGGTGATTTATCTAGAACCTGGCAAACATGGGTACATAGGTTGTATGTGGGGTTTGGGGCACAGACAAATTTTATCAGTTATATCTACAGATAAACAGAGAACAACGTGTTGCACTTATTTGTAAATGTTTGTATCCCAGGATAAAGTATGTTCCCAGCCACATCATCATCATTATCATAATCAGAATCATAATGCTTAGATTGTTACATCATAAACATGCTACCTCTACTAAAAATAATTTATGAAGATAGTATCTACTAGAATTGTGGATTTTTTCTCACCAGTTATCTCATTCATGTATGTTGTTATGTAATTGTACTGTATTACTAAGAATAATCTCTTCTGTACTGCATTTCATTATTATATACATGAGGTACTTCTTGATTAACGCTTAATCAGCAGGGGAAAAAAGTGATTAATGATTACCACCAATGAAGAGCAAGGCCACCATGCACATCTGTGTAGTCTGACCAGGCTCAGTACTATTGGCTGACCAACATTACATTTTCATCTTGATCTTTGTAACGTTGATAATGGTCAGTTCCAAAAATAAAAGCTAGACAAGTCCATTTAAGAATCCAGTAAGCTACAGGCTGAAACTGTTTCTCATGATGTCTGCTAATGTTATTATTTTTCTGAACACCTGCAGCATTAACGATGTTCCTGTGCCTCTTAGTTTAGAGCCTGGCCAAGCCTGCATGTCCATATATAATGTTTTCTGCTCAGTTTTCTAATTTTGGTCTTGAGATGCCTTTAACTATCAATGAACTGTTCCAAATCAAAAGCTTAGTCAGCTCATTACACAGATTAGGGAGGGGTAAAGGTTAATGTATGCAAATGATATTCATTTATGCAAAAGATATATCCTGATTGTAAATATAGTCCAGTATTTTTATTTGCCCGATGATAATGTGCCATTATCTGAAGAGTATTTTATATATTTGTAGGTTACGCATCCGAGGTGCAATAAATGCATACAGTGATCATTGCGGGACAAGAAGATTTTACCTTTGGCCGTGGCCTTGTCGGGGAAGAAGGTCGACCATTATGACGGATGTTTGTTATGCGTAACATTGATAATGTATGATATTAATGTCATTTTAATGTCGTTTGCCTACGTCAGCGAAAATACAGAGAATGTTCGGCCTTTTGTTAATTTGATGACGGTTGTTTTTATACAATGCATTCCATGTTATTATTTGTAAAGTTGATTAAAAAAAAAAGGTGTCATAGATATAGTATAGGGATATTATGTTCAAAGCAATATACTAGTTGACCAGTTATAGAATGTATAGCCACAAGGAAGTAGATTGTAGATAAAGATGAATTTGATTGAAGAAAGATAAAGAGAAATTGGATCAATTCCTTTTACTGTCGTTTACCAATATCCAATTACTGAAAATTTTGATATAAGGGCTTCTATAGCCAAGTTTTAAACATGACTTTAAATCACTTGCCCCTCATTGATGAAGGTTTAAATCCCACCAGGGACTTAACATACTTTTTCATTTGAGGAAGCTATCTAACTAGCTTATGGAATGTTGATTAATTTTACTGGGGTCCCAGCTTGTGCAAAAAAAATATGCATGGAGGCACACCTTATGTTTTCCTCCTGGTTAAACTGAAAAGTCGCTATATAACAATTTCTTTGAGGCATTAAACAAAATCAAAAGAAAGAAAAAGGAAAGGGATAATTTTGATATTTATTTAATGGTATATAACTTTCCCTTAGGGATACACAAAGATTAGAATGATAGTGTGCTTTGCTAGCTTATTGTTATCGTAAATTTGGTGCTAAATATAGCCATGGTTGGCATTCACTTGAAACATTTTAAAATCATCTAGATATTTATATGAACCGTTTCAAGTACCATAATGTATTTTAATGTGTAAGTAATTTTTATCCAATTCCACTAACCAGTAAATAAATGCCTTTTAACTGGCAACTGGTAAAGTTTCAATTTTCATATCTGAAATGTTTAATAGTTTTTGTGTTGACTCATTTACTTGGGGGGGAAAAAGTATTTTAGTAATCTTTGAAAGTTTTATAAAGTACATGTCATTTAATTTCAAGCGGTATTGAAAGAATACTTCAGTGAAAACTGATATGTTTACTAACGGAAAACCATTCCTTCAATGGTGAAATTATCCATCCATGACATTTTTATGACATTATATAATAATTATGTTTAGTAAAGGCATAATTGTTCACTGTCAGTAATTTGACACTGAAATATCTTTAAATACCAGTCAACAGTACTAAATGAAAAAAAATATGACAGATCCCCTATACAATTTTAAGGATACAATGGTTCAGTAGATATTTGCAACATTATGTTTGTGTTTGGACCGTATAGTCAGCCAGATTATTAAAGCTACATACCTCCAGATGAGCCAAAATATTTTAAGAAAATCAAATTTGAGAAAAATGTTCTAAGATTTTAAGAAAAGTTAAAAACATTCAAGATTCAAGTAGTAAGTTACATGTTATGTTCGATTACTGACTGTTATTGCAGTATTAATCACCAAATGTCTACTGCATTACTAACGTTATTTGACCTCTGTTTGGTTAACTTATGTGGATTAAAAGTGCTGTTTGCTATGTGTAAATTACTTTCTTTGTTCACTTCATAAAATTTTACTTTTAAATAAATCATCAAAATTTTCATAAAAATTAGCATGAATCTGGAGGCATGCTGCTTTAAACAGAGTGTTTTATATTGACACCATAGTATATTTAATTTAATGTATATTTAGATGAAATTAATATAATTATTGTGCCAATACTAGGGAGTGAATTGTAATAGCCATATTTTCATCATTATATCACGTATAAATCAAAGGAGTAAATTGTAACAGCCATGTTTTTTGATTATTTTATATAAAAATGGAACTTTTTAAAGTGAAATATTTTTCACTGTTATTGATATTATATATTCATTGGATATTCAGATGTTTTAAAGTTTATTTGGTTATCTTTGCAAATAATTTAAGTAAATACTAAGAGGATATATTTTTTCGTTTGAGTGAAATATGGAATAAATTTTCACGAAACATGATAAAATGCCTCATATTTCCGCGAGCCGGGATGGCTAGTGAAAATATGTGGCATTTTATCATGTTGAGTGAAAGTACATGTATATACCATATTTCACGAATAACGAAAAAATAACCTTTTTATTTAATTTCATTATCAAAGAAAAATGGTCACGAACACCCTTGCTTGCTAAGCAACTGCAATTGTACAGCGCGCAGTAATATAATTATTGTCTTGTTTTGCACTCGATATTTAGCGCTAACTTGTGACGTCACGTAAACAACTCTTTAAACATCTATACAGCGTTAATGACTGAATTAAAGATATTGGTGTTCGGATTTATTTTCTTAGTTAGTCCAATTTCTATCGTTCTAGATAGTTTTCAAAACAAAATTCAACCAAAGTTATTTTATATTTATCAGATTTTTCAAACAAAATGGCGAAAGAGGTCCCTTAAAATAAATATGAGTTTTGACTCCGCCCACTTTCATAATTACATTTCATATTTATTTTTAAAAAAATATGAAATATATTTGACTGATATAGTACCATATTTCATGGGTAAAATTAAATAAATGTACATATTCAGTTGTGTTGTCAGTCAACTTTTTCTAGTGATATTTTACATATCTGTCTCCATATGTCATTCATTCTAACTCGTTTAATTCATTATTATTTTTTGTAAGTTAATTAACAAGTTATATCATAAATTTTACTTATAAAGATAACCATTAACATATGCTTCTTTTCAATTAAGTACAACAAAATATGACAACTAAAAGAAAACATTTTTTTTTTGTTCCAACAAAAACTTTTACATTGTAAAAGTCAGTATTGACCAAATTATTTCATAAATAATTGTGGTATATTTGTATATAACATATTTGTTGTCATTTTGTATGCAGAAAAAATTTTCAACATTTTTTATACAAAGAGAAGCAGTAATAAATATATTTTATGTCACCAGACAATGTGACATCATATTTGACATCATGTGTCAATATTTTATGGTCCAAACTATTAAGTTCTGTCTCTTGTATAAGGTTATGTTGACATTTTCTTTTAGCTCATACTCAATTCTCAAGTTTTTTAACAGGTCAAAAATTGGGTCGGAATGTACACTGACCAATGGAATTGTTCAGCTAAAAAAAAAAAGAGAATGTTGCACAACAAAGGGTCCATTTGGTTGAACAAGAATATTGGGCAATTTATTTAAATAATTTTGTTGTAAATTTTAAAAAATAACCTACACATGCCCAATGTGTTGTATACTTAATGTACTTTGTAGGAAGTTTAAAATGCATTTTTCCACGCACAAAATAACAACAAAAATAACGTTTAATTGGAATGAAGTTTTCATTTATCTACATACAACATATTTGCATAAAGTTAATAATTTTACCCAGACTACACCTGTTCTCTGTTTTGCACATATTTTCATTATACATGTTTATTTATTGTAAAGAATGTTCTATGTAATCCACCTTAGTCATTAATGTATGTTTAAAAAAGCATCATTTTGTACAGGCATTTATAAAGGCAGCTTCTATGACATGTATAGACGATTTTAGTAATTAGATAATATATGTAATAGTTTTGACATTGAATCATATCATAACTTGAAGTGTGAAGAAATTAAAAAAAAATAGAAAAAAAGTAACTAGAATCATACTAAAAGATATGTTAGGATTGCAGCTTCCCAAATATTGTATGTGTATTCTGTTATTCAAATAAGAAAAATTCTTTTAGAATTTCCTAGATTTTAATAAACGTCTCCAATAAAAGTATTTTATCCAAGGATAAGCTTAATATGTTAATGAAGATGCAGCAAAATTTCTAGAAATGTATAAGATTTAACAGGCCATGACCTTGACTTGTTTTGTGTGAGAATAAACTGAATTTACTTGTTTTATTCACATTTTTGTTTCCCAATTATAACAGAGAACTTTTTTTTACACATATTTTTTTGTCATATATAGATAATTCAGTTTGACAGTAAGTGCCTTGGGCTAGCTGATAGTAATGTTACTATTTCTAACACTGATGTTTTGATAAACTATCTTGGATCTAGGTGCATGTTGCTGAATGGCAGTTTAAAGGTCAAATAATTATGCAAATGTGGGTTGTTTCTATTAATGAAGATGATTTTTTGATACTATAAATTTTATTGTATGAATAGGTTCTCCAGAATACATGTACAATTACATTTGTACTTCCCCTTTGACCTGCTGAATTGCTAAATTTTTGTAATGGACTTGCCCGGCTTTGATTTCGGAACAATCCATTTCAAGTTTAGGGGATTCCAACATCAAAAATACAAAAATTAAGCTACCAACAGTATAGAACCTTGTCAGACTGCAGGGATGTGAAGGCTGGGCTGGCTACATTGTATGAATATAGGGGTGGGAAAGGCTAATCATCTTAGGTCCAGTAGGTTTTGGGTGAAGAAATATTACAGTAGGGTTATACTGACCACACTTGCTGATTTATTTTCATATATCTATATATAATTATTTGTCTGATTTCTACCTCTTGTATCTGTTGTTGTTGTCTTAGATATTTATCTTTCCTGTGATACTATATATTACTTATAAACTGACAAATTTAAAGATGTTTTTATCATGTAAAATACTATGAATTATTAAGCATATCTTTATAAAGCATTTTTTTTAAAATTGTAAGTGGAATTTTAGTTTTCTGACTTTTTAATACTAAAGTCCAAATTCTAAGCTCAAGTCAAATTTTACAAAATTACGTATATGTAAATGATGGGGGGAAAAATGTCATCTTGTATTGTAAATGGGATTGTTTTGTGTAATAATTGAAATGTTCTGTATATTATTCCACTCCCTTTAATCAAAATCTTCTATTTTTAAAAATTCAATTTATTTTAGTTTTTATCATATTTAGATGTTTTAAATTGTGTTCTTTTAACAATGTACAATGCAGTATAAACATTCTATTTTGCATAATAGGTGGAAATACATGCATGTTGTACATTGTATATGCATTGCAGGTTATTCAGGCAAAATGACTTACTATTTTCTTATATTTTTAGCTTTTCTGATTTAATTTATATAGCTGCTTTTATTGGGCAAAAATATACAAGTCTTAGATATTACTAAATGTATGAACACAGTGTTCTGGTAAAATTAAGAAATAATAAAATAAAGTTTCAGATGAGATAAAAATGAGATAATTGTCGTGAAATCATGTTATTTGTATGAATATACTATACACAATGCAGCTTGTTATGTATTCATTTAATTTCATTGATATAAGAATTGTCAAATATTGCTTAGTTTTTATATCTGCTCGATTTATATCTGCTCGTAAAAGTTTTAAAATAAAATATTTCATGATTAATTTTTGTTCGTTTATCATTCTGTTGACAGAGAGATAGGTAATTATGAATTATGTATAGTTTCCAATAATTCATGCATGAGAAGGAGAAAAGGCAAATTTGGAAAGGTGGATACACCTTTCTAGGAAAATCAATGAATTATTTTCTGTTCATTACGCTGTAGACACAGAGTTACCTTTAATAAGGTATACCAACAAATTTCCGAGAAATTATGTATTCACCAACACCTATATAGTATTAGGTCATATGGCAGCCTTCCAGCTCGACTGATGGAAGAATACTAGTATTTCTGATGCATTCCCCCTCCCCCCAACTTCCCTGCAGTTCCGTATGTGCAAGAGTATTCAATTAGCCTTGGTTTCCGGCGTTGATATTTTTTGCTTCGTAACATACATACGCGCTATTACATACTCTATTTCATACTCGTTCATGTGTTTGATAATACCAATTGTCGATTTGCCGAACGGAAGCACATACAAAAATCGACAGACTGGAACCCAGGCTAGTATTCAATGCACCTGGTTAGAACTATTGACCTTCCTATATGTTCATGTCTGGTATCGAACTTGTAGTGGTGACTCACCTCATATTGTTGACTCACTGACTAGTAGTTTTAAGTTGGCAATCTTTATCCTTTATTTCTTGGCCACAGAACGCCATTTCCTTTGGGGGGAAATAATACAGCATGTGTGTCGAAAATATTGAATTATGTGCGTTGTACGAGAAGTCCCCCCCCCCTCTTAAATTTATTATTTTCAGTAATAATCATGTGAGGGTTTTTTTTTTTTGGGGGGGGGGGGGGGGGGGGGTGTTATTGCAGTTTTGTTCAAAGCGTCCAATTTTAATTAGGCTTGAAATGATTCAAGAAAAAGTCTGAGAAGTTATGTAATTATGAATTCGCGAACATTTTCGCGCCCAAAAACATTTCCAAAGTAGGGGGTTCTGTACAGTGGGTTTTTCTGTTTATTTTATTTTTTGTCGCTCCTATATTGTTCAGTAAACTAAGAATTATGTGACAGAACTTACTAGAGAAAGCTTATTGTTTGCTGTTCAATGTAAATATCTCACAAATGTTACTTATTACTTAAGCTGGAAGGCTGTTTAGAAATTAACATAATAGTTAATGTATTTTTTTTATTTGTTTGTTGTGTGTGTGCGTTTTACACACTTACGAATGACCTGGTTCATTTAAATAGCTACGACCTTTCTGTACTTTCAATATTTTGTATGTACGCCAATATACAACATATTTATTACTTATCCTGCAACACTTTAAAAAATATGTTTATATCTTGTAAAATGTAACAAACAGTGTCAAGTCTATTCACAAAATTTAATCATCATTTGAGATTTAACGCAAAATTTGACCGTATAGAAGCCGTTTTGGTTAACCACCGTGGATGCATTGCCTGGGTGCCATCACTTCTAAGGCAAGCCAGGCTAAAGTACAAGAACATCTAGTCTCACTATCGACTGTGTAACTTGGCTGCGGTTATATTAAAATTTTTGAAATTAACAATAAATATATTATGTTTTATCAATTTATCACATACCCGTGCCGCTTTGCGACTCCGTAAAAATGGTATTGCACGGCCGGGCATATGTTTTGACTTGACGTCCTTTGCGTCATTCGCACAATCTGCGATAAATAACTAAAATGATAAATCTTATTTATATTAAGATGAAATCCAATTAAACATTTAAAAAACTGAAGGAGCACTTTTACCTGAAAATAACAATATTGTTTACATAATTTTAAGCACATATACTATACATGTATTATATACATGTACATGTAGTGCGAAATGCAAGGTTCCGCCAGATAAAACAGAATCATGGACAGTCTTAACAATCGCAACTCTACGGCGTTTTCCGTCATATTTTGGTTATCGGCAGGCCTGAGGGTGTTCTGAATGGTATCTCTCTAGCTGCTACGAGTATGAATCTCGTCATGGACACTGACGTTTTATTTGCTAGCTCATGGAAAGCCGTATAATCACCTTACTCTATCGCATGACCTTGACGGTATCGGCATGTTCACAATAAATAAAGTCAAGATGGTCCAATTTCATAATCTTTGCTTGTTCACGCAGCGTTATCTAAATCATAAGAAAGGGGGTAAAATAAGTAAGAATTTTCTAGAGGCAAGCCTCCCACAAAAACAGTTTTGGAGCTTACTGGATTACCCCTAGTGATTCTAAGGTATATACATGTATATATGAAACACAAGTTATATGACTGTTTTTTAGTAGACATACACCATATTTCCATTTCCATCGTTTAAATTAGTTTTTCTCTTCTTTTAATATTACAGACTGAAGAACAAGATGAGTGCCGGAGATTCATGTATAGGATATTTAGCCCTTTGGTTTATATTAAGCCCTGTCATCCTTCAGGGCGCCGGTACGTTCGGTTGGGACTGGCTCTCAGGAAAATCGTGCAGCACAATCGAACCCAAACTAGACTGCTGCCGGGTACAAGTAAATAATAACAGCTATCGCAACAGTACTCCATGCAGTTCTCCATTCGTCCTCTCAGGTAGGTCTTGTCTATATGTAAAACTTCTATAAATATTTATTTTCAATGTCTTAAATTGCTGTTTCCTTTAAATTAACATATTATTGACTGTCCATTTACAATGTCCGTTTCTTGGTGTACCCCGGGGTGTGCGGAACCATGCGACAAGTGTAATGCACCGTTACTCGGTGTGATTCGGTTAAGATTGAATACTATATTAATATAAGCATGTTTGTGTATAATTACAGACCTTGACTTTACTGCGTACAGCCTTCATTTCGGTGCATTTTTGATCATGCTACTGCCTTTTGTGTGTGCATGTTTTGAAATCTGGTCAAAGCAAGATAAGGATCGTAAAGCTAAAAGGGATCGTAAAACTAAAGATGGTAAAAACAGGGACATAAAAAACATCTCTGTTAAAATTAAAACGGATGATAAAACTAAAGTGGACGATAAACCCGGTTGCTGTGGTGCCTTAGGCGGACTTTGCTTCTTACTTTATCCGATTGCAGGTAATGTGCAAACTCATACTAGGCCTAAAATAAAATATTGTTTGCTTCCCCTTCCGCTACCTACCCATAAAAATCACAGCTATCCCAAAAAAATGTATTGCTTGGAAAAAACAACAAAACATTCGCTTTTATTTTAGATAGGGATAAAAAAATTATCTAACTACCTACCCTACCCTTCCCTACCCAAACTGGCGTGGGCTGCGGGAGGGGAAGCAAATATAATTTTAAGGCTGGTCCTGTCTGAATTACGTAACACAGTATCTGATATAGACGAGCAACTGATAACGCTATCCTTTACTTAACAATTGATTTGATAAGCGTGATAAAGGGCAGCGTCTTAAATAAATGAATATAACCCGTTTAGAATTCAACCAAAAAAAATGAGTACAGCAGGTATTTACAATAATACAGGTATGTGTTATTACAAGTATAAATTTAACCTCGCTCATGCAACAATGCGCAACATTACACATTTTATAATGACCAATATCAAAAGAGTTATTCTATCACTTATCAGAAATTTCTATAACTTCAATTATATATCTGCTCCATAATTGGCTTACAACAAGGTAGTCCAACTAATTCACCGAGATAATTTTGGACGGGCGCTGTCTTTTTCCGTAATAAAAAAAAGTCTGTAAAATGGGTCAAACCGTTCACGCCAAATTAATTAGGCTAACAACAAGGTAGGTGGGTAATTTTTATTCCGGCCCAAACTACATGTAGTTTAGTTTTTTAAAGATGTTTTTGTGCTTTGCTGGTAGGGAACTGGACACGGCATCTATAGTAATATATTTACTAAGACCCTGCACCGCAGTATAACCTCTATAGTAATTGGCTCATTAATATGCAGCTTAATTCCATTAAAAAACCAACGCAATATTCTCGCATTCTGATACTAGTATTATTTAAGCATGCCTATACAATTTTAATTAGAAACGTTTATGACCAATTGAACCGATTTTCCTGTTTGAAAAAGTAAACAATGTGACTGTAGGGTCTGAGAAAATGTATGATTAGATGCCAGATCCAGTTCCTTTCAAGCGAAGCACAGAAACTGAATTTCTTGTAGCACGGCCGGAATAAAAATCACCCACCTAGCTGTCTTCCCCCTTACTGTAACCGGAAAGCGCGATACTGCAACACGTTCTCAACGGTGAGTAAGATAGAGCAAACCTACAATAATGTTATTGCACATACGATATGTTGTTGTAAGCCAATTATAGACCAAATACATTGTATATACATGAAGTTATAGTCTAAATTATGTTCCCTACGGTGTTACTATGACCGTAAAATATTTATATTTTTCAGGTTTGCTGAGTTTCATCGGATGCATGATGATTGCAAAGAAATTCTCTGGCTCCAGCTTTGGGCTTTCTTTTAAATTTAGTTTATCTGCTGGCTTATTTGTGCTCTCAATAAGCGAAATTCTAATATTATACTTATGTTACAAGAGAAGAAACAAAGTGAAGCGTCAAGCTTCCAACGATGATCAAATACAGACATATGCTCGTGGCGGTGCGGCCCCATATGACACCGGGCCTCCGAGTGGGCTCCATATTAAGTCCGCTAGAACAGAAGAAACCCACGTTGTACATAAAAGCAACGGCTTCGTTTTGTTTATGAATAGTATCAACATATTTCATTTAATTACACATGACAATTGATATATCAGCAAATTCAAATTATTTTATGTATGCATAAACGCATGAACGTATTATGTTTTTAATGGAGTATTACTTTTCATGTTTTCTTCTTTGTTGGTTAAGATGTGCAGACGGGAAGTTGAAATGTTTATGATTGCTTATAAAATGTCTATTTTTTGTTTACTGAAGGCCTTGTTGAAAATAAGATTTTGTGTTACTTTTACACTGTTGTATAAACATTCTATCACACAATAGGTTGGATGCATGCATGTTGTATTTACATTGCGGGTTATTATGGCAAATTGACTCTTATATTTTTTTTCTGATTCAATTTATATAACTGTGATTTTATTGTTTTTAAGATGATTTTACAAAAGAATTTGTATAAACAAATAAATGGATATAATCATATTGATATTTTTATGCATGTTAGCAGGCAGAGACTTAAAAAGACATATATGTAACTAAATATATGAACAAAGCTAGTGTTTATGGTAAAATTTAAAAAGTAATAAAATAATGTTTTAGATGAGATAAAAGGAGTTAATAATGAGATAGTTGCCTTGAAATCGTGTTATTTGTATGAGTATACTGTACACAATGCAGCTTGTTCTGTATTCATTGATATCAAAATTATAAATTATTGCTCAGTTTTATATCTGCTCGTAAAATTATTAAAATAAAATATTTATTAAAATATTATTTAAAATTTTCTTTTCATTTATCATTCTGCTTCCAGAGACATATATTATCATGAATTTATGTAAAGTTTCCAAGAAGAGATTCATGAGTAGAAGAAAAAGCACATTTTGGAAGGTAGATACACCTTTCTAGGAAAATCAATGAATTATTTTCTGCTGATCTGTTCATTACGCTGTAGACACAGAGTTACCTTTTATAAGGCAAACCAACAAATTTCCAAGAAATTATGTAAACACCAAACCAAAATAGTATTAGGTCATATGGCAGCCTTCCAGCGCGACTGGTGGAGGAATACTTGTAACTCTGGTGCATCCCCCGTCACCATACTGCAGTTCCGTAAGTGCAATAGTATTCAATGCACCTGTTTTCGTGGAAACGTCTAGGAATAAATTCATGGCCTGTGTTCTTGTATTGGTGACTCAACTGATATTGTTGACTCACTGATTAGTAGTAGTTACCTTTATCCCCAGAACGCCATTTCTTTGGGGAAAAATACTACATCATGAATGTTGAAAATATTAAATTATGTGCATTGTATCTCTTTATTCTTATTAGAAATAACATCATTTTTATCAATTTTTTTAATTGCAGTTCTATATGTAAAGTGGCGAACTTAAATTAGGCTTAAAATGTCTGACGTGTTATGTCAATTTTACGCACACTCGGAAATGTACGCTCACAAAAAATATTTACAAAGTACATGTAGTTCAATTCATTAGGGTGTTCTGTATCGTGTTTTTGGTTATTTTATTTTTGTTGCTCCTATATTGTTTGTTATATTTATCATTTTCAACGTTTAAGTTAACTAAGAATTATGTGACAGAACTAACCAGAGAAAGCTTATTGATTGTTGATGTATATATCTAACAGATGTTGCTTATTACGAGAGCTGGAAGACTGTTTAGAAATTTACATAATTTCTTTATAGTTTAACACACTTACGAATGATCTGTTTGATTTACATAGCTCCGACCTTTCTGCACTTACAATACTTTGTATACATACGCCAATATACAATGTACAATATACAACATATGTATTACTTATCCTGCATCACGTTAAAACAATGCTTATATCTTGTAAAATGTAACAATGTTGAGCAAAATATTAATGCTAAAATGATGAACCAATTCACAAAATTTAATCGATTTTCATTATTTGAAAATGCAGTCGGTAACAATACATTGCCTGTGTGACAGCAGTAATATACGGAATGCCGTTAGGGCCATCGCCTATGAATGTGTTGATCTGAAACGCGATAGTCGATAGTACGATGGTGAAAACGCGAAATCACGAAACTACGATGGTGAAAACGCGAAAGTACGATGATGAAAACGCGATAGTACGATGATGAAAACGCGACAGTACGATACTACGATGATGAAAACGCGATAAACTATCGTGTTTTCACCATCGTACTGTCGCGTTTTCATCATCGTACTGTCGAGTATCGCGTTTCAGATCAAACCATTCATAGGCGATGGCCCTAACGGCATTCCGGAGTAATAAGGCAAGTCAGGCTGATGTACAAGAATATCTAGCCTCACTAACTACTAAGTAACTTGACTGCGTGATATTGAAATTAATTCTTCTAGCAACACCAATTTATTTTATATGTAAAGGCAGATTTATAGCGATCACAATTATTTCTGCTCTTGTTTAGAAAAAAAGCCCTTGAAACGGGTCAGTATTTCACAGTATATAGCAACATGTTGGTATGTTCTGCTCTGCTCAACACTTTTGAATAAATGTCGCGTTATTTATTCTTTTCAAATATTTACAATTTTATTTAAAAAATAATTAAAATGATAAATCTTATTTACATTAAGATGATTTCCAATAATACATTTTAAAAAATTAAGGACCCTTCTGTTACCCGAAAATTACAATATTGTATACATAATTTTTAGCACATACATGTGCATGTTTTGTATGTACATGTAGTGCGAAATGCAAGGTACCGCCAGGTAAAGAGTAAGGGGTCATGAACATTAACCAATCCAAACTCCATGACGTTTTCCGTCATATTTCGGTAATGTCATATTTCGGTATTCGGCAGGGGTTTCTGAATGGCATCTCCCTAGCTGCAACAGCATGGACATTGACTTTTTATGCGAAGCCGTATAATAATCTTCCTCTTTCGCATGCATGACCTTGACGGTATCATGGTCGGGTGCGTATGAATTCACGCCACAAGAAAGGAAGTAAAATAACTCAGAAAATTTCAAGAGCAAGCTAGCCTCCCACAAAATCAATTTTGGACCTTACTGGATTACTTCTTGCGATTCGAGTATATATCGTTGGCTTAATACTACAAACCCGTATGTCATTTTTTGTCATTTTTAGAAAATTGCATTTGAAAGTTTGAACTGTAATAACTTTTTAATGATAAACCGTATAAAAATAAAATTTTCAGTGAATTTAGGAATTTTTATGTTATGTATATACATATATACCAAATTTTATTTCTGGGCATACAATTTTAAAGCTAAAATCTCAAATAATTTATTTCAGTTTTTCGTAATAAATAAGAAAACACATACATATTCTGAATTCTAAAACCCCATTCGGGAGATACTGGGTTGTTGGCAAAACATTCAGGTCATTTCTACACCATTAAAGCGACATACGGGGGTTCTAAGTGAAACATTAGAAGCAAAATTGACTAAGTGTAATAATTTTCGGCTAGAAACATAGCAACAATTCAAGTAAAAAATATCATTAACTTCTCCTACTGTGTAAAATATTTCACGTCTGTTTGAAAAATCAATGCTACCATCAAAATATATCTACATCAATTTTTCAAAAGTATGCACTTGTTATGTTACATGTTTATCAACCGTGGGTATCTGACGATGCATTTCTGTCACATACCTATGTTGCTATTATGTTTCAATTTTTGAATTAGAGTGTACATCAAGTAGATGCTTTTCGTGCTTTAGAAAACAGCGTTGAATCTGAATGTCCTGATAACATCTAGATGTAAACAAAGTGGTATTTTGTCGTCCATTCAAGAATATCTAATAACTATAACATCATGGATGATCAAAATGCAAACGGAAAAAAGGGTTCAGCTATATAGCCAATGAGTACCCTTTCAAAAAGTCTAAAAACTTGAAAATAAGAAGCTTTCGGGAAACAAAAAAATTATAGTAGTCATCGAGGCCGTCCGAAATGGTTATCATCCGAATAAATGTAGTATTTACATTTTTATCTATTCAAGACATTTACTATATAATTCAAAATGATGTAAGAGCTATAAAAACTAAATCACCAATAAATGTATATTACAGTCAGGTACTATACTATAATTATCTTTAAATAAATCACTAAAGGTTTTTCAAATATTTGGTTGTGATAAAGTAGGCAGTCATTACAGATGTGTCATGTATCACGTGGTACAAAATCAGAATGTTTGATTGGACGAGAAGTTACTGGAGTCTAGAATTAAAGTTTGATGTTAATAGCGAGTTACGGGTTTGTGGAATTGAAAATAAACATATTTATGTTAGTTCTACAACTACATAAGTATGTTCACTGTGAAGAGCTCACTGAGACGAAAAAAATGATATAAAAATCTCAATTTTGCCAAAAATCGAGTTACGGGGTTGTAGAATTAACCCGACGATATGTATAAAAATTCATCAAACAAAACAACAGTTTTATAACTGGTATGTTTGTTTGTTTACTTTTGTGTGCAGATTTAATTAAAAACGCGTGTCCATCGATACCTTATTTGTTTATTTACAAGTGTTTTAGCAGCCATACAACATATTTCCATTTCCATCGTTTAAATCAGTTTTTCTCTTGTTTTCATATTAAAGGCGAAAGAACGAGATGAGTGCAGGAGATACATGTATAGGATGTTTAGTCTTTGCGTTCATGCTAAGCCCTGTTATCCTACAGGGCGCCGGAAGGAACGGTTCGGACTGGCTCCCAGGAAAATCGTGCAGCACAATCGAACCCAAACTAGACTGCTGCCGGGTACAAGTAAATAATAACAGCTATCGCAACAGTACACCATGCAGTTCTCCATTCGTCCTCTCAGGTAGGTTTTGTCTAAATGTAAAACTTCTATAAATAACCCAAACTAGCCTGTTGCAGTGTGCAGACAAGTAGTTACAGCTATCGCAACAGTACACCGTGTAGTTCTCCATTCGGCCTCTCAGGTAGGTTTTATCTTAAAGTATAACAAGGGCAACATTGTCGCAAATACGCCCGTAACAAAAGCTTTGACAGAGATGTGGGCATTATAGATATACATACAGTAGATGATTATGTTCTGGGCAACTGGGCATATATTATGCTATCAAACTATTGTCTAAATGTTAAAAACTCGTGTTTGCCTTCTTCAAAGAATGAAACATAAATTTATTAATTAATTAAGCATATTTGTGTATTATAGACCTTGACTCTACTGCGTACAGACTTCATTCCGGTGCATTTTCGATCATGCTGCTGCCTTTTGTGTTTGCATGTTTTGAAATCTGGTTTACCAAAGACGGGGATAATGATATTGGTTGCTGCGGTGTCTGTGGTGGACTTTGCTTCTTACTTTATCCGGTTGCAGGTAATGTACCTCATATATACATATACACAATACAGGCACACTTCGAAACACAGTATTTGATAGAAACCGGAAACTTATATATATATATTGCTATCCATTACATCATAATGATTCGATAAGTATGATAAAGGACAAGTCAACGTCCGTTAGCTATACGAAATTGCATATAATTTAACTAAATATAAAAATGAGTATAGAACAGCAGGTTTTACAATAACTCTAATATGTGTAAATACAATTTGGAATCTTCTTATATAAATTTAGCCTCATTCATCAATACGCTACATTATACAGTTTGTATTGTATTACTATACATTGTATACAAGAAAAGCATTGATGCAAAGCATCAATCGGCGTCCAAGCAAGAAATGCAGCAGGTGCAGATGAACTAGTAGATATATGATGATAAACTGTTCAATGGTTCATTGGTTTTTACCAGAATTGTATATCATTTATGAATGAACGAACGAAAGACATTGTTCATTATTTATAAATTTGATTGGCATGCTAGAAATTAGAATATTACTTGTTATTTCTTTATGATTGTGATTATTAATAGCAACGGATATACATGTATACAATCATTTATAATCCATATGAGTAACGCATGATCAACACCACACTTGTGTAATTGTCCCTTATTATGTTATTGCTATTAGCGAAGACACTTTCTTAAGGTATCTGTTCAAACTTAGTAACAATATGACACTTGTTATATTACCATGTTGATCATGTTGAGCATAAATGTTTATTATACACTAATTGTAATATCTTTTTTAACAAAAAAAAATACAGATTTTATGAATATTGTTTTCTTTTCTTTTTTGTGTTTTATGCACTATTTTAATACTGAGTTTTTACGTTTACTATTATTTTAAGAATTCAATTGTCATAATGACCGACAATTATAAGTCAAAACTTAACTGGAAAAAGTCAGTAAATTATGGTTAATCTTTCAATATATAATATTGTTTATTCTAAAACCATATACATGTACATTTGTATTTTTCTTTATCATTTCTTAAATTATCAATCAATTGAATAATTCATAAAATCTGACTTGTAACTTTGAATAATTCCTCGGCATCTTTACTAAACACGAATAACAAATTAAATAAAATGTTTCAAAGTTGATAGTGTCATATTAATGCCATAAAAATGTACATTTTTTCTCAATTATTGTACATATTTATTGTTTTTATCTCATATAGATAAAATGAAACATGCGATTTGTGTTGTTGGTTTTTTTTTCGAATTGTATGTTTATGTATAATAATAAGCAATAATTTTGAGAGTTGATCTGTGTTTATTAATTATTGTAACCAAACTAATTAAGTGACAAACATTCATTTTGAAAAAAAGCTTATTTATCTGTAAAATATTTGTTCTGTTCTGTAACGGTATCAAACATCTACTCCAAAACCGGGAGAGACCGGACAATAAACGTGTGGTACTATTCGCCGGTCGTCAAAATAGACCAGGAGAGACCGGGAATTACCGACAGGAGTACATCCCTCTATAAATAGATTTTCGGAATATTTAGGTCATCAACTCATCATTCTATTTACAGCTTTCGGAATAACATACCATAATAATCCACTGTGTACTACAAAATGATAAATAAAAATACCTTGAAGAGCGCGATTTATTGACGGAAAAGGTTATTTAATTTGAAAATGTTTGCATTGCGAAATTCTCCAGTTCGCTATTCATTGTACATATCGCGACTAATTAATAATCAAGCACCCTCATACCGATCGGAATGATCGGCTTTTATTATGAACAACTATAAAAGGCTCGAGAAGTTGCTGTCGCCCTTTCACAAAATCTGATTTCATTCCATAAAAGGCGCCGCGCTTCGGCGCGGACGCCAATAACTGGTACATTGACTTACAACTAGCAATTAAATGAGCCGCATTATTATAGGTTTGCATGAACTTACTTTGACCGTAAAATATTAAAATTTTACATATTTCAGGTTTGATGAGTTTCATCGGATGCATGAAAGTTGTAGCGAAATTCTCTGGCTCCAGCTTTGGACAATCTTTTAAACTTAGTTTATCAGCTGGATTACTTGTGCTCGCAATAACCGGCATTCTCATATTCTTCATCTGTTACAACAGAAGAAAAAAAGTGAAGCGTCCAGCTGCCAACGATAGCCAAATGCAGACGTATGCTCCTGGCGGTGCTGGACCATATGACACTGGGCCTCCAACTGAGGTCCAGATTCAGACCGTCAGAAGAGAAGAAACCCACGTTGTACATGATGGCAACGGCTTCGTTATGTTTATGAAGAGTATCAACGTATTTCATTTAGTTACACATCACGAGTAGACTTATCAGCAAATTCAATCTATGTTATATGTATGCAAAGACACGTGCAATATGTGTCTGATGATATATGCCTGCTAAACAAAAGAAAGACTGTTTTGTTTTGAATTCACTAATACTTTACATTAAGAATGTATATATTGTTATAATTAAAATCAAAATGTGCACATAGCGACCAAATTGACTTATATATATATTCGAATTTCGGGAGGAAATGGTAGCATCCCGGGACCCGGAACATCCGGTCACCTATGTAGACAGCTTTTATCTAAGTCCTTTAAAGAATCAGTTATCCTATAACTTGTTTAGATCTATGAAATGCAGATAAAAATCGTTTCACTCTGAGTGAAATGTATGAAGCAGTTGTTGAAATACGTTAGGAATTTATCCATTATTATGTATACAACATTATGAAACATTTTTAATGGCCATTCTGAAGAAAGAAAAAATCATTTTGTGAGGCTTTATGTGTTAACCTGTGCCTTTAACAAAAAATACATTTTTGTCACAGCTTAAATAACTCATACGACCAGTGATACTAATTTTCTACGCTAATGCAAGATAAGAGGCAACTGCAAAATTAGTATATGAGACTCATCACACTTTTAGTACAGATTTCTAATATCTTTTTTTCTACTATTTAATTGAGTTATCTTATTTAGCATACTTTATATAAGACATCATAATCTACAAATGTAATAGAAACGAGTTAAGCTATATTCTTTGCTTTTTTAAAATACTGCATTAGATCTATAATTATTATTTTTATTTCCGTGAAAGATTTTGTGATATGGATACGAATGTTATATAACATTAAATGTACAATAAATGTTATGTTATCATTATATTATTTTTACCTATGTAACTTACAATAACAAGTTATAGCTAATGCATCTTGGGATTGCTCTATATCAAATATATTAGACAACCCGGATAGAAATAGATCTACATAACATATAATTGATCTGTTTTTGCTACTGATCGGAATCACATCACGAACAGCATATCATAATTTGTAGATGTATTTATATAGTGTCTGAAATTATTTTTTGTCCGGTAGGATCGCAGTACTTCTACAGGCACCTGACCAATTTAATTTTGTAATTATGTACTAATAATAATATAATTATAATAAGTAGTAAAATACAACCATATATCTATTCTCCTTACTTGTTCGACCATATCTTCAACGCTTTATAGATCTTCGCAACTTAATTACATCTGGATAATTATTATTAGCTCGACTATTCGATAAGAATAAGTAGAGCTATTGCAGTCACCCGAGCGTCGGCGTCGGCGTCTGCGTCTGCGTAACCACTTATGTTAAAGTTTTTGTAATAGTTCAAATATATTCAAATTCCATTGACATATGGCTTTGAAACTTTGCACACTTGTTCACTATCATGACCCCAACCTGTAGACAGGAGGAGGTAACTCTATCAAGCATTTTGACAGAATTATGCCCCTTTTTCGACTTAGAATTTACGTTAAAGTTTTTGTAGTACCTCAAATATTTTCAAAGTCCATTGACATATGGCTTTGAAAATTTGCACACTTGTTCACCATCATGACCCCAACCTGTAGACAGGAGGAGGTAACTCTATCAAGCATTTGACAGAATTATGCCCCTTTTTCGACTTAGAATTTATGTTAGAGTTTTTGTAATACCTTAGATATTTTCCAAGTCCATTGACATATGGCTTTGAAACTTTGCACACTTGTTCACCAACATGACCCCAACTTGTTGACAGGAGGAGGTAACTCTATCAAGCATTTTGACAGAATTATGCCCCTTTTTCGACTTAGAATTTATGTTAAAGTTTTTGTAATACCTCAAATATTTTCAAAGTTCATTGACATATGGCTTTGAAACTTTGCACACTTGTTCACAATCATTACCCTAACCTGTAAATAGGAGGAGGTAACTGTATCAAACATCGACAGCTCTTGTAATAATTATAAATCTAGATGTAGCCTAGATAAGATAAAGAAAAAATAACATTTTTACTTTAAGCGAAAATTTTGTAGATCTTTAGAAGTACGTCCTACTAGCATAATCTTATGCATTAAAATCAACATTATTAATTACTTAAAATTTATTTTTGCAGATTAATGCATTATTTAATCCGATATTACGGTGCTGAACAAGTAACAAATTAAGGTGTGTGTAGACTTGTATTTTTTATTGCTTTACATTCAAACATATAAACGTTGTTTATGTTTAAAATGTAGATTTTTTAAAAATACTATTAAGATTATCTAAGATTATATAGATCTAAAACTATCAGAACTTTCTGGGCTAGCTAGGAATCAATCTATAAATAGAATCCTAGATTAAATGTCTAGTCTACTGTAAGTTATTCTACACACATTAAACACGATTATTAGATCTACCTGTGTCAATGACAAATTTTTCAGTATGTTGATCAATACTTGTAGACCTAACGTTAACAATTATTTCGATCCATCATTCGCATGATCAGCTTTTTTCCAATTTTGTTTGCGAATGAAAAATGATTTTAATTTTCATATTCTTAACGTGTGTCACGTGGTTTCTTTTTATAGACATTTTTCGCAGAACGGCGATACAAGCGCTAAAATAAGTTTCCTAATATGGTCATGTTCATACTTTGCGCATGCGTAAATATAACGGTCGTAGTCAGGCGACAAGCAGCATCAGTCTCCGAAAGCTTCTCCATTGAGCAAGACGTTTCTTTTGTGATAAACGGAATAATATCTTTATTTCTAAAATGTGTGACGACGAAGTAGCTGCCTTAGTTATTGATAATGGCTCCGGTATGTGTAAAGCCGGATTCGCTGGGGACGACGCTCCACGAGCCGTCTTTCCTTCAATCGTCGGTCGACCAAGACATCAGGTTAGATCTTGTTGATTTTAAAATTAACCTTTAAAACTAAGCGTTTTGAAATTAAACTTTGAATTGTTTCTAAGAAATAGTGAAATTGTTAATGATGATATTTTTATATTTAAACACGTGTTGAAATTGCAATATCCTTGTATCTGGGCCACCTCATTTGCATAATGCCGCATTGGGCTTGCGTCTCATTTGCATTTAGCCGGTCCAACACGTGGTTCCGGTATTTGCTAATACAGAATAGATGGGCTTTTCTGTTGTCATGCACTCATTCAATTTGACAGCAAAATGTTAAGGAAAATTTAGAATCTAGATATATGCTACATGTCACAGTATTTCTTCTGCCATTTTGGGGGAGGGGATTTTTTCCTTGCCTATGAAAACTGGAGCAAGAAAACCAGGTGTCATCAGCTTTACACACAACACTGTACCATTGTGCTGTAGCAGCTGCAATCAAATATTCCCAACTGATTGAAGAGTCATTAAGGTTGATATTAAAAGTGTGAAGAGCCCTAGCTGCCTTTCATATTGTTTTTTTTCTTGAATTTGGATCATTTTTTTTTACAATTTCAACACTATTTGTGATTTTTATATGTGATTTATATTTGAAAAATCACCCCTAAGAATGATCTGAATTTTATTACTTGTACACGAGTCATGATTAAGTTTCCAATTTTCCTTTCTATATTCTTACATTACTATGTGGATAGTTGAAATGATTTACCCACAGTCTCCATTAAAAAAATAATGTAATTTTGCTTTTTAAGTATGGGGTTAAACCTATAATATATACTTTGTATACTAATGGATTAAGTCGCTAATTAAAAAAAAAAACAACATTTTCTTACACTTTTTTAATATCTACTTCAGGGTGTGATGGTTGGCATGGGACAGAAGGACAGCTATGTTGGTGATGAAGCCCAGAGCAAGAGAGGTATCCTTACTCTGAAATACCCTATTGAACACGGTATTGTCACCAACTGGGATGATATGGAAAAAATCTGGCATCATACTTTCTACAATGAACTTCGTGTTGCCCCAGAAGAACACCCAGTCTTGCTCACAGAAGCCCCACTCAATCCAAAGGCTAACCGTGAAAAGATGACCCAGATCATGTTCGAAACCTTCAACACTCCAGCTATGTATGTTGCTATCCAGGCTGTGCTGTCTCTGTATGCCTCTGGCCGTACCACAGGTATTGTCATGGACTCTGGTGATGGTGTATCACACACTGTACCCATCTATGAAGGTTACGCTCTTCCCCACGCCATCTTGAGATTGGATTTGGCTGGTAGAGATCTTACCGATTACTTGATGAAGATTTTGACAGAAAGAGGTTACTCTTTCACCACAACAGCTGAGAGAGAAATTGTTAGAGACATTAAAGAAAAATTGTGCTATGTAGCTTTGGATTTTGAACAAGAAATGCAGACAGCTGCATCATCTAGCTCATTGGAAAAGAGTTACGAACTCCCCGACGGTCAAGTTATCACCATTGGTAACGAACGATTCCGTTGCCCAGAGGCCATGTTCCAGCCATCTTTCCTTGGTATGGAATCTGCTGGTATCCATGAAACAACATACAACAGTATTATGAAGTGTGATGTTGATATCCGTAAAGACTTATATGCTAACACTGTGTTATCTGGTGGTTCAACTATGTACCCAGGTATCGCTGACAGAATGCAAAAGGAAATTGTAGCTCTAGCTCCATCAACCATGAAGATCAAAATTATTGCTCCACCAGAGAGAAAATACTCTGTATGGATCGGTGGTTCTATCCTTGCTTCTCTATCCACTTTCCAACAGATGTGGATCAGCAAACAGGAATACGATGAATCTGGCCCATCCATTGTCCACAGGAAATGCTTCTAAACTGAACTTAAGTTACTAAAGTTAAATCAGTTATCTTTTAACTTTCCATTGTGCCACGCATTTTTGTGTTCATCAAAGGAAAATTACTTGTTTCTAGTCATGGAGTTTTTACTGGCTGATGTAGCGATCTGACATACGGGTTTGGAGGAATTGGTGCTGCCAAAAGACTGTACATGCCATCTGTTTAACTGTTCATGTTTTTATTTACTGGATTTGCTGCAATGTTGTCTTTAAGGACAGATTTAAAGTTGCCTTTATGCCTATGAAAAAGATTACCAATTTCATTAAAAGAGATAAAATTATTGCTCTTTTTCTACAAATTTGTATACATGTACATCAATTAAAGCCAATGTCAACATGTAAATGTTACTTTGGTCTTGTATATAAAGAAAAAATGGAACTGAAAATTCAAGTGTTACGTTAATGTTGACCATATGTTCAACTTTATATTTCATAAGAATCTTCAAGAAATGTGCATCAAAAAAATATTCCTTATTTAAAGTCCATAATATTTAAGTTGTTAATCTCTTTATTTCAAGCGGAAAAAATGACAAAATAACAAAACTGTGCTTGAAACTCGGACTGACCGAGTTTTAGCACAGTTCTCGAAGATTATTTCGAAACATGTTCCATCTTAACATAGGCCGTTCCATTTTTGTTTTAACAAAACTCATGAACAAAAGTAAATATTCAAATGTTTTTTAGCTCACCTTAGCATATGCTCAGGGTGAGCTATTAGGATCACTCTTCGTCTGTCGTCCGTTGTCCATTCACACTTTTAAAACGACCTCTCTGAAACCATAAGGCAGATCATAATGAAACTTCACAGGGATGTTCCTTGTGTGAAGCCTTAACAAAGTTGTTCAAAGAATTCCATTCCATGCAGAACTCTGGTTGCCATGGCAACCAAAAGAAAAAACTTTAAATATCTTCTTCTAAAAAAAACCCAAAGAGCTAGAGCTTAGATATTTGGCATAAAACATCTTCTAGTGAGTGTCTACCAAGTTTGTTTAAATAAAAGCCCTGGGGTCAAAATTAACCCCGCCCCAGGGGGTCATTGATTTTCCCTATATGTATATTGTAAAAACTTAAAAAAAACTTCTTTTAAAGAACCCAAAGAGCTAGAGCTAAGATATTTAGCATGAAACATCTTCTAATGGGTGTCTACCAAGTTTGTTCAAATAAAAGCCCTGGGGTCAAAATTGGCCATGCCCCAGGGGGTCATTGATTTTTCCTATATGCATATAGTAAAAACTTTAAAAAAAATCTTCTTTTAAAGAACCCAAAGAGCTAGAGCTAAGATATTTAGCATTAAACATCTTCTAATGGGTGTCTACCAAGTTTGGTCAAATAAAAGCCCTGGGGTCAAAATTGGCCCCGCCCCAGGGGGTCATTGATTTTCCCTGTATGAATATAGTAAAAACTTAAAAATCTTCTTTTAAAGAACCCAAAGAGCTAGAGCTAAGATATTTAGCATGGAACATGTTCTAATGGATGTCTACCAAGTTTATTCAAATAAGAGCCCTGGGGTCAAAATTGGCCCTGCCCCGGGGGACATTGATTTTCCTTATATGTGTATAGCAAAAACTTAAAAATCTTCTTTGAAAAAACCCGAATAGCTAGAGTGTAGATATAAAGCATGAAACATCTTCTAGTAAGTATCTACAAAGATTGTTCAAATAAAAGCCTTTGGGTCAAAACTGGCCCTGCCCCAGGGGTGTCATTGTTTTTAAATATATGTGTTAAGAAAAAACTTAAAAAATCTTTTAAAAAACCCAACGAGCTAGACCTTAGATGTTTAGCATGAAACATCTTCTAATGGGTGTCTACTAAGTTTGTTCAAAAATAAAGCCCTGGGGTTTAAACTGGCCCTGCTCCGGGGGGGCCTATATATAGGTGAGTGACTTCAGGGCCATTATGGCCCTCTTGTTTATGACCAGTTCCTTCATTTTAAATGATTTAAAAGTTTAGAATCCTCTCAATTGTTCACATCAAAAGATCAAAGCAACCAAGTACATTGTACATATTAAGGCAACATGCTGAACAATGTAATGGTTTTAATGTTCTGGCCTTGCACTACATTCATACTTGACCTAATTTTGTTTAGTTACCTAATTCTACCTCTCGAGCTTTAATTTATGCATTGATCCTTGTAAATTGATATCCGACCTCTTGCTGAAATGAAATTTCCAAGTTGTTAACTGCTTTCCCACTAAGAACATTTAGCTGAAATTTAAGGTTAACTTAACATCGATCATTTCAAAATAGTCTAATTAAGTTCTCTTTATTTAAGAATCTATTTGGTAGAATAAGTATGAAGATGCACCCTGTTGAGACCGAGTTCAACCTGCTACACTGGTTTTCAGGTCAAAAGGGCATGTCACTGACCTTAAATTACAAAACATGAAACTAGCTATTTAATTTGTTATATGGACTAAAGTACTTGAAATATTGTTCATGTACATTGATAAGCTAAGCTCAGCTTGCCACACCCGGTCATCGAATTTAGCACTGGCCCATGGCCAGTGAAAATAAGTTTGGGCCAGTGAAAATTTTAAGAAAATTTAGTTAAGTAATTGGTAGAATAAATTCAAAACTGAAATTCGGGCTAATAAATTCAATATCTGAAAGTCATTGACTGCACACCGATTCAAAGGTTATGGTCACTAGGACCTGTACTGGCCAATAACTTTACAGAAAAACTTTTGTATGCAGATACACCTTGATGACATCTACCTGTTCTACTCACTTTAGGTGAAAGACAAAATGACCTATTACTTAATTTTTAGCTCTACTTTTTAAAAAAAAAAAAGAGCTATTGCTATAGCCCTGTTGCCGTTGCCATCCAAAAATATTTAACATTCAGTGGTATAAATGGCTCTAACTTTTGTTATTTGTGAATGCTAGACTCAATAATCCTTAGGCGAATACCAAATAAATAATGACCATTAATGGCTTTCAAAGTCAAATTAGTGAAATTCGCAACAGTTGGCCAAATCTTTAGCTCGACTATTCGATAAGAATAAGTAGAGCTATTGTAGTCACCCGAGCGTCGGCGAAAACACTTACGTTTTTGTAATACCTCAAATATTTTCAAAGTCCATAGACATCTGGTTTTGAAACTGCACATTTGTTCACCACCATAACCCCAACCTGTAGACTGGAAGAGATAACTGTATCAAGCATTTTGACAGAATTATGCCCCTTTTTCTACTTAGAATTTATGTTATAAGTTTTTGTAATACTTAAAATATTTTCAAAGTCCATTGACATATGATTTTGAAAATTTGCACACTTGTTCACCATCATTACCCTAACCTGTAGACAGGAGGAGGTAACTGTATCAAGCATTTTCATTTTGACAGAATTATACCCCTTTTATAACTTGGAATTTACGTTTCAAGTTTTTGTAACACCTGGAATATTTTTAAAGTTCATTGACATATGGCTTTGAAACTTTGCACACTTGTTTACCATCATGACTTCAATCTGTAGACAGGAGGCGGTAACTCTATGAAGCATTTTGACAGGATAATGCCCCTTTTTCAACTTGGAATTTACATTTAGGTTTGCATACCACCTCAGATATTTTCATATTCTATTTAAATTTTAGACTCTTCTTTGAGAGCATAATAGGACTCTCTCCAAGGCCTTTAACTGTAACATGGATTTATCAGGGAAACTTTTCCCTTTTAATTACCTTTACTTTTAAGGTAAAATTTTTAAAAAAATTTCAATAAGTTGACATTTTTATGGATTGATTTTTAAAACCCTTTTGAATAAACCTTGAACGTCAAAAAATAAAATTCCAAAAAATTTTTTTCAAACTGTTTTTTTCTGGGTCTTTTTCTTTACTCAATGTGTTTGAAAAAAAAGAAGTAAAAAAGTTTCAGCTTTGCCCCCATTTTGGTTTGGTTTGTCCCTTTTTGGGTTTAAAAGTTTTTTTTAATGGGCAATTTAAGTTTTTTTAAAGGGGGAAATTTAACTTAAAATATTAAACTAAAAACTAACTTTTGAAATTTGCCCATTTTTTTGGGATGGGAAAGGTTCTGTTTCTTAAAACCCTTTTTTTAAAATTTTTTTTGGGTAAAAAGGCCCCAAGGTCTTTCTACCTTTTTTTTAAACTTTTAAAAACAATACTCTCTTTTTTTAAAAGAAAAAATTCCCAATTTTAAAAAAAATTTAAAAAAAAACCAAAAATTTTTAAAAAAAAAGGAAATAAAAATTTTTGGGAAAAAAAACTTTCCGCCTTCCTTCTTTTTTTTTGGGAATTTTTCTTTGCCCCCCAAATTAATTTTGGGTTGACTAAAAATTTTAAAGGGGGCCTCATTGACATTTCCAATTTGATGACCGAACCTTTCTTTTAACTTTTTTTTTTGAAAAACCCTTTAATTTTTTTAAAATGACTTGCACAGATGTGAAACATAATGAATTTTTGAGGTTATGAACAAAAACTTTACTAAAATACCTGTCCCTTAATTTAAATCCCTTATTTTACAAAAAACCGGGGTAAAATTAATATCTACTTAAATAAAGCTCCATTTTAAACTTTGTTAGAATTTGGTCAGAATGGGGGTGAATCGGGTTTTTGATTCATGGAATGTTTTTTTTAAAAATTTCCCCCATTTCCCCGGGCCAAAATTGGCTAAAATTTGGGCCAAAATTAAAAGGGTAAGGGATCAAAATTCCCTGGGCAAACCAAATTTTCCTAAACTTTCCCCTTTTGCTTTATCCCCTTTT